CAGCAATGTTGGGAAGTTTTGGTCTGCTTCCTCGGTGGCACCACTGCAATGAAACCCTTGGGAGCATTCAGTGCATGGAACAAGGGTTGGGCTCTCTTGGGGAACTGCGGGCGGATGGGAAATGTCTCCAAACTGGTCCAGCTCTCAGCGATGAGCCCTTCCCTCCCTTCCTAATTGCCATTCCTCCTGATGGAGCTGAGCTGCTACCAGGAAATAAAACCGCCGGGGCTTTTTTGCTTAACCCCCCTGGCACGGCACATTTGCAGGTGGTGCCTTCCCAGCCCAGGAGAAAGGAAGCAAGCACAGCAGATGCCTCATTTGTGTGCACAAGAACAGCTCTCTCCAGCATCTCCTCCTGCTTGGATCACCTCTCTCTGTTGTGCACTGTGCTTTACACGGAGTGGGGAGCTGGCTCTGTCACTCCAGGAAGTCAGCAGACTTGCCGTGGCACTCCTGCTGGGGAAGGCTGGTGAGGCTTGAGTATTTTTAGAGAGTGATTAATTTTATTGGCAATGATGACATCAAACTCATGGGCCAAAGGGCGTGCGCTGACACCTGCCCCAGAGGTGGGAGCAGTCCTGCTGATGGCTGTTATGTGAAACAGACATGGGGCTGGACTTCAATCCCACACAAAGGGAAAATGGCTGAGTTGTCATTAACCCCACAAACCTGCCCTGACTGAGCACACGGAGGGGGACCACGGTGTGGAGAAGAGAGAGAAGCTGGGGGTGCCCCATGCCTGGAGGTACCCAAATCCAGGCTGGATGGAACCCAGAGCAGCCCAATGGGGTGGGAGCAACCAGCCCACGGCAGGGCCTTGGAACTACATGGGCTTTCAGGTCGCTTCCAACCACGTCATTCTATGGCTCTATGATTCTATGATCCAGCCCTCGGGGTGTAACACCCCACAACTCCCCCCGTGTGCTCAGCCTTGCTCCTGGACTTACTTCATATGGATGTTTCTCAAGCCCACACAAGCCAACTCATACATTTCCCGTTTTGCTCCTTTCTTTGTCTATAAGAACTGAAACCTCCTCAGTCCTTCAGCCCATCGGGGTCTCTTCTGGATCTCTGTCCCTGTGAACTTACATGCTCATCCTGCATCATCCCAAGCACCAATTTAAACCTTGCTTTCCTCCAGGGCAAAGCGAGGACCTTTGCCACTTTACGGACGCGTTCCCATAGTGGATGCCAACCCCCTCTCCCCAGCTGCATTTTAAAGGGATTCAATACTGTCTGCCCTGTATGTGTGCTAAAGGCTGATTTTTCTCCCCTGTCAACTGAGAAATCGACCGCTGGATAGAACAGAGCTGGGAATGCACAGCTGTGAGTGGCACTGGCAAGTACTGTGTGGGTCTCTCCATAGGGCATCAGATAGGGTCTGAGCATCAGCTGCCACTCCTTTAACTCAGAGAAGCCCTTTTTTAGGGATGGACCCCACAGAAGCAGCTCAGAGGGCTATTAGACAAACAGCCACCAACAGACCTGTGCCTCATGCAGCATTTCAGAGCAGCCCAGCAATGCAAGCGTTACTCCCCATTGCCCTAATTACAGCAGGGCAATCACCATGTTTTACTACTGTGTTGTCTCACAGTTATTCTCCATGTTCAGAAATAACAACATGGGTCACATCATTACCCCCAAGCCTTATCCTCAGTGAAGTTTGCACTGGTATTTTCCAAGCAAATAAGTGAAAGGGGAAGGAGGGCTGCACTCGAACTCGGTGATAGAAGAGAAAGCTGTCGTGCACAGGGATGGCACAGCACCAAGGCAATGAATTTGCCAAGGTCACTGAAAGCAGCAGCTCGCAGAGGAGCCTGGTGCTGCGCAGCACAAATTCCTCAGCTTTCCTACGCTCTCCGTACTTTGTTAGGAACAAGAAAAAAGACCCTGTTCTGTGCGGGACGGACATCTTGCTGCCAAGAAAGTGCCACCTACTGGAGCTGGCTCGGCAGGAACGTACAAGAACGGCAAACAAACCCAGAAGTAACGCTGGAAAAATTACTTTTTCCCCACCCTTAAAAAACCCAAAGAGATATAAAACACCACGCTTACAGTGCTTCCAGCAGCAGCCCCCTCTGATCACAGCCCTCCGTGGCTCAATCCCCCGTGGAGGACCAGGGCTGGGGGGTGGGGGGATGTGTGGTTTTAGGGTTCAAAAGGAGAGACTCACCGATGCTGAGCAGCCCCTCGTATCCCCAGTGGTCCCCTCGGCTCCTCTCGCTCCTGTCCCAGATAGCCGTGCCCTCCTAGCGCAATCCTGCTGCCATTCTCCGGCAGCCCAGCTCCTCTGCTTCACTTGGTGCCCCAGGGATGGAGGAGAGAGACCACCTGGAGCCCCGACCTGGGGTCCCGCTGCCTCCACCTCCGCGCTGCCCTTTCGTCCCCGTGCCACTCGCCCCGGTTGTCTGCGAGCAGGTGACAGAGGTTTCTTGGCAGAAGAGAGAGGAGGGGAGGGATGTGGAGGCAGCGAGAGGTGGAGCTGGGACCCGGAGCAACAGGTTACTGAATAACTAGGAGCCGGTGGCCCCAGGGAGCCGGGCAGTGGGCCTTCGCCGAGCAAAAACCGAGGGGGGGGAACGTGTTAAACATCAGGTTTTTCTCGCCTGAGAACATTTCGTACCCCAGGGGGAGGTAGAGGAAGGCGGGGGTGATGAAGGAGAGCGTTGAGCTGGGTTTTCCATCCTGGTGAGGGAGGGGACGCGGTGCCCGGTGGGGGGAACAAGGCAGCTTTTGTGCAGCAGTGCTGCTCGCGGGTTGTTTTCCTCCAACTTCGCTCCTGCCTGCTCTCACCGCCCTGGTGTCTGCTGAAAGATCTGGGACAGATGCCCCGACACGGACAGAGGGCAACACGTCCTCCCCAAAAGCCCCAGAGCAGAGCAGGGTGAGGAGAGGAGCCCTGTTGGGGTACCCGGCTGGGGAGGGGGCTGTGATCCCTAAACCTCCCTCTGGGAGAATGGAGGTGAAGCAATTGCCGTAGCTCAGGAGGGGAGTGAAGGGTTTGCTGGCATCAGGCAAGGTTTGGAGGCAGTGTGGTGTCAGCTGAGCCCATCCATCCCTTGGGTTGCAAGGATGTCAGAGCTGCGCTTTGGGGTCTGACGGCGCGGTTTGGAGCTCAGAGGTCTCCTGTGTGGGCAGACTGCTGCTTGCAAAGCGCGCCTCATTTCATCTGCCTTAAGACTTAGTTTTTAAGCATTTATGAAATGGATGGGATTAGCTCATCGAGCTGATGGCCATGCTGGAAAATGTCACAGCACCGAGGAGGGGAAGGGCTGCCAGTTCCTGCAGCAGTGCAAACCGAAAGGCCTGGTGCGCTGCTACAGCTGTGGGACTGCTGGACTGGGCTGCTCTCCCAGGGTGCAAACAGCTTGTTGGAGGGACTTCCTTGCAGAAGCTGTTTCATGCTAAGGCACCTCATTACCTGGCAGTTTCGGCTCCACAGTCATTACAAAGATAGGCAAAGTGCTGTGCCCTGTAGGAGATCTCTAACTGCCGAGCAGAGGAGGGAGCTTTTCTTCTGGGAAGGGAAGAAAACCACAAACGAGCTTATTACATCTTCCCTGCAACACCTGGCGCTGGTCAGAGCAATCACCAGATGGGGAATTACCCTGCTGCACTGCTGCCTGCACTCTGGACTCCTTTGCTCAGATCCCACAGAGCTTTGGACCAACACAGCCCTATCGCTCACAGTATCTAAGCATGACATCCCAGGAGGCCAGCGTGCTCCTTGGGATCAGCCTTTTAAATCAGGTTGGCGGCAGACATCCCTATGATGGCTCGAGAACAAAGACTTCTTCCTCGCAGAGCAAACAACACCCAAACTGAGCTCCTCAAAACGTGGCTTCCTCGCAATTTTTTATGCCGTTTCCATCCAACTTGCTCATCCTGTTTCAGAAGGGCTGGGCCTCGTAATTAAAAGCTCCACCAATCTTACGTCTGGCAAATGTCATCAATGACTTTATTATGACTTTTCTCCCTCTACTCCTGCTAAGATTTTATATTTTGTCTGCAGTGAGCACCATGGCACATACAGAAGCCAAAGCACAAAGGCTGCAACTTGAGTTGACACACGTGACTCCACCACCTCCATTCAGGTAAAAACAATATTCCATTTAGCACTTGCCTTTAAAACCTGTCAGTCTTTCTGTGTCCAGCTTTCTGCACAGGGCAGGTGTAAACAGATACCAGGAAAAATTTGTCCTCTTATTTGTATGCATCCAGAAAGAGCTTCTACTTGGAATGCATTCATCATTAGTAGGGTAGATCCAGGTAGGTATGTTTGTCAGTCTTTGTCACAAAGATGTGATGAGTGCATTCCATTATGCCAAGCAAATTCAGAGGAATGAACGGGTGGGTATTTGATTTGTGCACAAGCCCAGAAACATTTGGCCATTCAATTTCCTGGCTGCTTAGCACCCAGCTCTGCTGCTTTGCTGCTTTCCTGGGTGCAACCTTGCTCCTGCTGATCAGCCGAGGATTGTTTGTGCCAGTAGCTTGAATATGATAAGGATCTGGCCCGAGGAGATCTGTGACACTGTGTGTGTTTTGGTTTTGACTGCTGGACAGCATGACGAGGCCAGAAGCTGGCAGTACCTGGCTTGCAAGGCTCTCCCCCAGCTACGTTGAAGGATGAAACTGGGTGCTTCTACGGGAACTCTGGCATCTTTTGTTCCCTTCTTCCATCACTGCAAAGGAAAAACCAATGTAGCTAAGGTGGTACTGGGTCTATACCACCATCTTTTCCTGCTCCTGGCTAGTGTCAATTAGCACAAACCTCAAACACTCTTCCCCAGTTCAGAAAGAGCTACAAAGAGCAGCAGGAACAGAAGGTTTTTGCACACATCCAGTCTCGCCCAAGTCTCTTTTGTGTAGGTAGCCGTGCCCTAGGATTTGAACAAAACACTGTACTTCAAACACTTCTTAGATCTAATACATTCTTTATTTGAATAAATAAATATAAGAAATTCTGAATATAAAACCTGCCTGTACAAAAAAAAAAAAACCCAAAAAACAAAAAACCAAAAAACCCCAAACCCACAAGCTCCCATGCTTTACATTATTATATATTTTTGATAGAGAAAAAAAAAAAAAACAGGAAATTACACAGTTGATTTAATAAAAGAGGTTGGAATGTAGTCACTTTGGCAGAATTGTGGCACTTAAGACATTAAAGACTAAATATAAATATGTCTGACAGCTTCTTTTGGACTTTATAACAGGACAGAAGGGTGAATGGTGAATGTTCATGCTGATCTTTGGGTTGCTGTGTTTAAACAACCAGACCCTTGCACCACTGTCTTTGGTCTCCATGTCAGTAAGAGGCAGCTGCCCAAACCTTGTGGCTCAGCTCTTCGAGGCGCAAAACTCAATTCAACCCAATCCCACTGGGAGCAATCAGGTACTGCCCTACTAAATGCAGGGAAATTACCACTGGAGTCTGAAAACAAATGAGAGCAGATGTGTGATAAAGCAAAACTGTGCCTTGAAACACGTAAGTGTGTGCAGGAAACGAGTCCATACGATGCTGGCCTCATTCAGTTCCTTGTCACTTTGCTTGTGTGGTGTTGCTCTATGCCATGAAAACTCATGCAATCTCAATGGCATGCAGCATTGGCTGCTATTCTGTGTTGGGAATTAATATTTAATATTGATCCCTGATGAACACTAACTGATGAGCTGTGTAACACAGCTGGTAGAAAGGCTATCTTACCTCCCGCCCAGGGAGATCTCTGCCAGAATAGGTCATTTAACAGGAGAAAGCATTACAAAATTTTGATATGCAGAATAATTAGATCTTTGAAATATAAAAACTCTCTTTAAAAGCAGAAATGTGTTGAAAACATGCTGTGTCAGTTAGGACTTAGCCAACAAAAGCAGCAATAGCCAAGACCTGGAGTACTGACTCGAGCCCATATGTAAAGAGAAGAACAGCATTTATAATGACATCTGCTTTGAGCACATAAGTTTGCCATATCAGGAAATACACAGATAGAATCATGCTTCCGACCGTTATCATAAGGCTGAGTCCTAATGGAGCCTCTTCTTCTGTCAGGTTACCCTTTGAACCTTGGAGGAAAACAAAAAGCTGATATGAATCTTTGATTTATTGAGACAACACTCAAAAGAGGCTCTATTTGTAATAGTTCAGGGTATGTAGAAATACTGTTCTGAATCAAGGCACAGTCAAATAAATTTAAGAATAAACCCAAAGATTAATGAACAACCCATTTCTTGCTGACTGAGGTTAATTTGAATGCAGAGAAACCAGCTGACATTCCAAGTCAAAAAACCTACCCTTTCTTACTACAGACAACCAGTCCTGAAGCTGCAACCATTCTGATCGCTCAGTCTGACCCTCTCCTTGGCTAAGCATCAGACTTCCCCCCAGCCCCTCTCAGCCCCACGTCCAGTGTGGCAATGTGGCAGCATTTAAGGACATCCAATGCTGATTTTAAAATCTTATACAATTGAGAGTCTTCCTTATACCCTAATAATCTATTCCTACTTCAAGTTCCTACGCTGTGAAGAAGCTGCACTTATTCCTTCCTTACATCTTATTTCTGAGCTTGCCTTGGTAGATTTTGCTGTTTAATTACATGAGACTTCAAACTTGCTTTTTACTCATCCATCAGGCTCCAAGCAAATAAATGCAGAAAGCTTTAAAGGAGCAGGCTATGCATTCAGCCCTACAGCAACACAGCTGTGTTCAGCAGACCCACCTTGTGTAAATATCTTAGGAATATTTAGCACAAATTTTAATAGCAATTTTAAACCTTGCTTAAAAGAAAGAACTTTATGAAATTTCAGCTAGCTCTAGATAGGGATTAGTAGGATTCCAAGCAGACCTTCTCCATTGTTCTGGCATACTGAAATGAAGACGATAGAAGTGACGTGTCTTTAGAAGAAGTGAAGGGCAAAGCTGTAGTCACAGTAGCAGCCATGGGCTTCTTAAGGCCATCCTTAGTACTACCTGTTCCACAAAGCTCCAGCCACCTGGTTACCACTGTACGTTTCTGGAGCAGCTGAATGGAGCTGTATCGCCTCACTGTATGGAAATCTCTGTTTCAACATGTTCATTCTCATGAGCCACACTGATGGTAAACAGCGTAGCAGCATTCCAGCTGTCCCAGTTACACTGCTGCCTGACAGCCCAGCTATTGTCTTCTTATGGAATTATAGATCATACATCATATTTCAGCAAATTCTATATGACCCTCTAGCCGAATATGTCAACCAGATAAAGTTTAATAACATAAATGAATGAGCCTCCAAAAATCTGCTTGTCTGCTAAACTGACACGTTCTGACACCCAACTCTTATTTCAGAATGATGAATGCTTAAAGATTCTATTCCCCCTGAAAAGGCACAGTGATAACATGACATACCCAAGTACAGCCGCAGCGCTTCAAGAACGGCCATGATGCAAAGCAATGCGAGATCGGGAGCCAAGAAACCATCTGGATAACTGAAAACTTGACCTGTAGAATAGCACAGCATAAATACACCAGAAGAACACAGTAGGGATACCAGCAAGACACAGATGCCTCATAATCAAGCAGCTTACTTCTGGTTGCAACTTACTTTTATAAATTATCATCGCAAGTGTCACCACGAAGTAAAAGATGTAATAAAACCCATTTATATAAAATAAAATCTGTAAAGGAACAGATGAGAGCTGATAACTGTTGTTAAGGAGTTAGGTAGGATCCATCTCATACAATAACCAGTTTCTAGTAACCTCAGAATATTCTCTGTGCCTCCTTATGCTAAATGATTCAACCATGGGGTAGGTTTCAAAAAGTAACTCGAGACTGCAAACACCAGGAGCGAGGACAACTTGCTGTTTCACATTTGGTTTTTGTTCCTTTTCAGTTTTATTTTAATTTTGGTTGTAGTGGGATATTTATTAGCCTAAGGAAACTAGGGGAGAGTGTGCATGTGTGCATTTCCTCTGACAACTTCTGTATCTGTTGGCTGGCAGAGGGCCGGCATGCTCCGATTATCTAATTCCTCCATGTTTTTGAAAATACGTGGCTCTGTGAAGCAGACAAGCCCTATTATTGCCTGCATGATGGAAAGTCTGAGAGCTGAGCTCAGCCTTTGTTGTGTGTCTGAGAAAGGCCACAAGCTCAACTTTGAGGTGTAAATTTGTAAGATAGATTTCCTTAATTCACTACTCACAAAACAAAGCGTTGTATGAGGTGATATTTAGCTCCAGTTATTTCTGTCAACCTGGCTCTGCTGACAAGGTATTTGAAATCTCCACAATCCTTAACACACCCTCAAAACACCTCTGAAGGGCAGGGAACACGACAAACACCGATGTACAAATATGGAGAACTTAAAGGCTCAGAATATTCTCACCTGCAGCCATCCTAAGATAAAAAACATGGTAAAGTTATGCCTCTGCTCTGAATTCATCACTTGGGCTCCCCCTGGAGTCAGCCCAGAAGAATACCTACATAACCAAGCAGTTAAATTACCAGCCCATCTCTCTCTTTGGCCACGAAAGCCATTTAAATGCTTCAGTTTATATGAGATACCCAACAGACACCTTCAGGAGGCCATCCTCCCCAACAGGCAAGTACAACTCCTACATAGCAGGTACATGCACACTGAAGGCATCACTCCTGAGGCACAGCAGCACGTTATGAATGTAATACAGAAAGCACGAAGGGCATCCTGGGGTTCACTGCTATATGGGAAAGCTGCAGCGTGGCTCAAAGAATCCAGAAAGTTTTGGCCATTCCTATGTGTTTTTTAAAACAAAATTATACCAGTTGTTTTCCTTAGTCTTCAACAAGACAAGGCAATTTATACAAGGAACTTATCAGTACAGAGTTCATTACTTCGAGCTGCCTCCAGGCATTCTTTATCCTCTCCTCTCTCCTTCTCAGATACTGTCTCGCTAAGCAGGGACTTCATCCCAGGCATCTTTTACAGGAACAACCCATCCGGTTTTTGAAGGGAGCACCCACCCACACAAAGTGAACGCTTTCCAGTTCCCAGACAACCTCACTGTATTCAAACAGAACCAGGTTTTTGTGTTTTTCCAGTTGAAGGGAGGCGGAACAAAAAAATTACTAAATAGGTTCTAAGCATGGAAATCTCTGAAGACAAGGGTGTCTCCTTTAGGAGGCTATTCAGACCATGGGAAAAGATAGGGTGAGAAGAGGAAGCTGCTATTACTGCCTCTTGTTGGCCGTGCAGCATCATCTGCCTGCAGTGTGCTGTGTGAACCTTGTGTCTGCACGTTCATAAAGCCACTCTGTAGCCTGGCTTCCTAAAGAAATGAGTTAGATGACCAGAAGGTGCCAGCCAGCCCTCTGTCAGGCCTGCGGGCTGGGTAAGAGCTTGTGCTTCATGTGGGTGGCAGTGATGGGAGCCTCACAGGGTAACAAACACTACAGCAGCACCGTGCAGATTCCAAGAGAAGAGGTGAATCTCTTGCAGCTGGTCTGCCTGAAGATTCCTGCACACGAAGAGTGGAAGGCACAAAAAGGATACAACTGATGAAGTTCTTCCTTTCCGTTGAAAAGAGAAAAGAGAGCATAAGATGAGCCTAAATATTTACCAGAAGTGCTGCAGCAACATTCTGCCCAGAATTTCCTTACCAACAACCCACGAAAACGCCCGCTAAGCAGCCCTCAACAGCCGCAGCCCCTTCCAGAAGCACGGGAAGCCGTAGGCCCTACATGGCTGAACCACCGCACTGCCACCAGCGTCCCAAGGCCCATTTCCCCTCACAGCCGGGCCCGGTGAATCCCCCGCTAGCCCTAGTTAAGGTATTTAGGCACGCAGCGCAAACAGGCACGCCGTGTTACGCTGTGAAATGCCGCTGGTTCCGCGTAGGCGCAACGCTCGCACGGCGCTCACCTCTCCGCACGGCCGCCATGCCGGCCCCCTCCCCCGCCACCCGCCAGTCCTCCAGCATCCCGGCAGCCCCCGCGCCGCGGCCGTTCGTGCCGCCCCGCCCCTCTCCCTTCGGCTGCGATCGGAGCGCTCGGCCCGGTTCGGTCGCTTTCGGGCGGCTTCGGGCAGTGCCCGTTCGGGAGCCGCCGTTCGGGACGGCGAAAGGGAATTCGGGCGCGCTCGGAAAAGGTTCGGCACATCTCGGCTTTCCTCGCGACCGCCTCACCCGCCTTCGGGCGGGATCGGAAAAGACTCGAGCGGACTCGGGATTCTTCGACCCCGCGGGCCGGACCGCTCGGGGACTCGGCCCTGTTCGGGCGGGCTCGGGAGCTGTCAGGTATCGCTTCGGGCCGCGCCGCCGCGGCCTCGGCCGCGTCCTGCGCTGCGATTGGCCGCCGGCAGGAAGCGCGGGCCCGGCGCCTCGGGACCCGCCGAGCCCCTTCGGACGAGGCCTGAAAGGACTCGGGACACTTCGGGCCGCATCGGAAACGCTCGGTTCGACCCGGGGAGCGCACTCGGAAACGCTCGGCACCGCTCGGCGGGAGCGCCCGAGCGACCTCGGAGCATCGCCCCCCCCACCCCGGCGGCGCTCGGGGGGGAGCGGCAGGGCTCGGGGCTGCTCGGGCCGGCTGGGCCCCGCTCCCCCCCCATCGCGTCCTCGCATGGAGGACGCCGACTCGGCGGCCAAGCGGCTGGGCTTAGCGGAGGCGGTGGCGGCCGCGGTGGCGGCGGCGGCGGCAGAACCCGAGCGGCAGCAACCGCAAGGCTCGGAGGGGAAGGCGGAACGGCGGGAGGAGGTGACGGCCGTGACCGTGATGGCGGCGGACGCCGAGCACATCGAGATGGGCGCCGAGCCGCTGCCCAGCGCCGACGAGGCCGCCGCGTTCGCAGGTCAGCGCGGGCCGCACTGCGCATGCGCCGCTCTCCTCAGCGCAGCCCGCGCTCCGCGCTGCGCGGGGCCGCCTCAGTGCGCGCGGCGCTGCCTCGCATCCTTCGCCGCGCTGTGAGACCGGCAGCGGCCCGCCCGAAGTCGCTGCGGCCCCGTGTGCAAAATTCCCGTTCACAAGTCGTAGCAAAACGCAGCCACGCGTTGGTCGCTGGGTCAGGTGTGAGGCGGAGCCTAAAAATGCTCGGAGTTCGTTCTGCTCTTCAGCCCGTTCCCCGCTTTAATAAAAAGAGAATGGTTCTAGAACAAATAAACATTTTCCCCCTTAGTTCATCGCAGTTTAAGCCGGGCTCAACCCAAAGCCTGGCAGAGAACAGTAATATTTGCGCTGAGTGACACTCCATGGAAAAAAGAGGGGATGTGCTTCTTTGGGGTTCACATACTGAGCTCTGCTTTGCTTCATTTCTGTTTTGCATTCCAGAAGTCACCACAGTGACAGTGGCCAACGTTGGTGCCTCTGCAGACAACGTGTTCACCACATCCGTGGCAAACGCAGCATCCATTTCGGGACACGTGCTGGTAAGTCGGCCCTTCGTCCAGGAGCCTTGGAGCACCACGACTTCATTGGTGTGCACACGGGGTCAGGACGTGCGTGTGCTGCAAGGCTTTGAGCCACAGTCATCACATCATCACATGAGGCACCTGCAGTGCTTTCCCTTTGTCTTTTCCCTGCCGTTCCACCCACGTATGTGCACTCTGTCATGGAGCTGATGACCTGGGTCATGTAACCTTTCAACGTGGTTGGCTGAAAGCTCGAAAACGTACCTGCTAACTAATGGTGATTTAGGGTGCCTTTGAGAGATCTGCAGGAATACTCATTTATTTATTTTTTTCCTTTATTTCTTCTGTAGTCTGGGAGAACGGCCCTCCAAATTGGGGACAGCTTGAATACTGAGAAAGCCACTCTCATAGTTGTTCACACAGACGGCAGCATTGTGGAAACCACGGGGCTGAAGGGGCCATCAGCACCCCTCACACCAGGTATAAGGCAATCTGAGCGTCCTTCTCCAGTGGAGTTGCTTCTTCCCTTTTTTGTGTGACTGAAAAACAAGAGAAACATCACACACATGACATGAAGTTGCATTGTACAGTCTGTCCCCTCTTAATATACTGCTTTTTGTATTTGTTAGGTGCCTTTTAACCCACCCCAAAAGCAGATCGATTCTAATATTGATAATAAAAGCCCGGAACTAGGAGATTAATACCCGGGTTCTTTATAAAGAGCCCTTTGGTTGAGACGGTTTTGTCTCCATTCAGACCTTTTGCTGGTATTTAGTTGTGGCTGTAGTTGGTGAACATCACCAAGGTTGTTCCCAGCTGCCTGGCAGTCCCCGTTTTGCCCACGAGATGGCATCACAAGCCTTTTGCAGGCAATTACACATTGGACGTTGTCCTCTAGGAAGTCATCCAGCCGGCTGCAAGTTAAAGCCTGGGCGTTTAATGTGCTGTTAAAAGCGTGTTTTCTAACATGCCGATTGCTCTATTTCCAGCCATTTTCAGAATGTTAGCTTATGTTATACTTCTTGAGGCTGGCAGGGCAGACCCATGGCTCTAGCTTACATCAAGCATCTGTTCCAAACAATTTTTTTGTGGCATGCTGACCACAGGATACATTTGTCCCAGCCAAACTACATGTGAAGATGTTGTCACTGTGCCTTTTGGTTGCTGTCACCTTCTTCCTTTTTTTTTTTTCTTCCCCCAAAGGACCGCAATCTCCTCCTACCCCTTTAGCAACTGTCCAAGAAAAAACTGGAACCAAGTATAACTGGGACCCATCTGTGTATGACAACGAGCTCCCAGTGAGGTGCCGAAACATCAGTGGGATTCTGTACAAAAACAGACTTGGCTCAGGTAAAAACAGCCTTCTTGTGTGAGAAAGATGGCTCCTTCTTCACTTATTGCACTTTCTTTTTAATCAGATTGCCTTAAAGGGCCAATCATGAAGAAAATAAGTACGTTTTCCTAGTCAGCATAGTCCCATGGATATTATCGTTCTCTTCTGTTTTGCCATTTTGCTTCCTTGTTCTTTATTCAGAGGCTTTTTATCTGTGAAGATACAGCCTGCTGTGCAGTGAGTCTTCCCAATAGCAGGCTGACTCTTCCAATGTTCTTTTTGTGGACCTCTGAGAAGTACATCCTTGTCTCTACAAAGCTCTACAGAATCCCTGCTGGATTGGAAAGTAGAGAGCTTGTCTTCTAATGAGCCTCCTTAGCTGTCTTAGCTCCTCTCTTCACTTTTATCTCTGTGGGAAAGCTGAAGAAGCAGTTGGAGAAACTGTCAGCAAGCCTGACTGCATAGCACAGCGTTTGCTTTGTAGAAAGAGAGTTTTCTTCATGACCTGATGGATTAGAAATTTAAGCAAAAATTATGGAAAGGTTTAAATTTGTGGTAGTTATCCAAGAAAGACTTATCCTACATGTGAATTAATAATATTTTCTAGCCTATTGACACTGGTGATGCACAGAATTGGAATTCACTGCATGCTCAGTCATTGTCACAGCCAGGCTAAGAAACAGGCATGCTTATCCTTCAGTGATGGGAAGCAGCACATGAGCAGGTTTGGTAGTTGCTACAGATTACTTGCTGTTTTGCCCAGTAATTTCATAGGGTCACAAAGTACTTCGAGTTAGAAGGGACCCACAAGGATCATTGAGTCCAACTTGCCATTCACCAGAGCCTGCAGGGACCCTTCTTGGGGCTGCTCTCCAGAATTTGCTCCCCACTCCATACACAGAGCCCGGGGCTGCCTTGTTCTAGGAGCAGAATCTGGCACATACACGTGTGAAACTTCATGCAGCTCGTCATTGCCCAGCCACTGTCAGTATTTTTTAGAAAAATGGAAAAGTAATCCTTAGCCTTTACTAATGCTTTTATTTTTTTCTTCTAATCTTAATACAGGAGGCCGTGGTAGGTGCATTAAGCAAGGGGACAACTGGTACAGCCCCACTGAATTTGAAGCTATGGCAGGACGAGCCAGCAGCAAAGACTGGAAGAGGAGCATTCGCTATGCTGGGAGGCCCTTGCAGTGCCTTATTCACGTAAGGTTATGCTTATTTTCTTCTGTCTGCCTGCTGGAAGGGGCAGTTTAATTCTAGGCAGAGTCTGCCCTGCAGTCTGAGCTGTATGCAGAGTTGTGTGTAGGCTGAAGGAGAAGCAACTCATTGATTTTGTTGAGGGGAACTGGCCTTTCTTTTATTATGTAGGGCCCCCCCAGAAGGGAATTAGTGTTTATTTCTCCCTGGGAGCTGCCAGGATCTTTGAGCAGAGCACAGTCCTGCTCTCGCTGCTTTTGGCGCCTGATGTTGAACTTGTAATCTTCCAATTTCAGGATGGGATTTTAAATCCTCACGCTGCCTCTTGTACTTGTGCTGCCTGCTGTGATGACATGACTCTGGTGAGTTGTAGGTTTTATGTCCATTAGTTTAAAAACAATTCATCAATCAAGCTGCTACGGCCATCTGTGAGCAGGTCAGGGGTGTCCTAGAAACACTGACAAGTACTGAGTGTTTCCATGTTAGAATGCTTGCTTTTTTCTAAAACGATGCTAGAATTGTTAAGCAGCAGTGTTTAGCTTCACCTCAAGCACTGTTCTGTACTCTTCTGCTGTGAACTGGGTGGTTTCCTTGTTGTCTAGACCTGAATCTGCATGCTTCCCATTTTCTTTCACTCTTATTTCTTTTCTTCAACCCCTTGGATTGGTAGTGAAGGATTTGCCCTGTTCTTGTCCTTTCATAACAGTGGGAAAAGACTGAATCTGAGTGTGTCTTTTTTAGTCACAGAGGCTTTTTGGTTTGCAGATCCAATAGAAACTTTTTGGTCTATTGTTACAAATCTACCATGGGAATACTTACTGCTTAATTGTAGCTGCGTCTGGAGAGGTTGGAATGAACTGATATTCCCCTAAGAGGTGCCTCAGCTAATGTCTTTTTCTCTTTTTTTTTTCTCCTAGAGTGGACCTATTCGCCTCTTTGTACCATATAAACGACGAAAAAAAGAAAATGAAATGTCTGCAAATCCAGTCAAGAAGGAATCCTCCAAAAATATCACTCTGCTTCCTGCCACAGCTGCTACTACATGTAGGTTCTTTGCTCTGGTAAAAATGGCCGAGCTAGATATCTTTTTGTCTTATCAGTGGTCAACTGAGAAAAATGTAATATCTCCTGGCACTTTCTTTTATATGTCCTTTAATATCTGGTGGGGCTCTGTGGTAAGATTTGTGCTATTTCTTGAAATACATGGAAAAGTAGATGCTAAGCAACTGTAAAGAAATCCACAGTCTGAAAGCTGTTAGCGAAAGAGGCAGAAGGTGATGCTTTCATCTGTAAGCTCCTCTCTGGCGTTCAGGACTTGCTTTGTCACTTCATGTTTTTGAAGTCAAACCATCTGTGTGAGAACAGAAATTAATTTGCAGACTGGTCCAGCTCACAGGTTCCCTGTCACATTCTTGTTCTCCTGTTCTCATCATCTGGACAGTAACATTACAAAGTGAGTTGAGGAGGAAGCAACAGGAATACAAAAAAGAACTGAGCAAGCCAAATGTAAGATTAGATTACTAGCAACAGTGGGAAGAGAAATGCATAAAGATTCTGCAGAGATTTTGTTGCTTCCATCCCCCAACACAGCTTTAATCTGTACTGATTTGTTAACATGTGCTGCTGGGGACTGCATGCTTGCTTGTGCTAACACTGGGAGAGAGCGGCACTGCTTGTCTTGTTGGCAGCCACAGCTTTCCTCAGAAACAAATCAGTAGCCTCAGTGTCTTAGAACTGGACTGTTTGCAAAAAGGTTTTTCAGGCTGAGCAGTGCTCCACAGCATCAGCCCATTAGTGGTGCTGGACTAATCCAGCTTAAAAAGGGTTTTAAACACGTTGGAGCTGCACTGGTACTTTCATCCAGATGAACTTTGTGACTTGTTCCCTGCATTGGCCAAGCAGGGTTATATCATTCCGTGAAGATGGACAGTTAAACTTGTCCAGTAAACCAAACTGTCATAGAATTAGCTGTAATCCAGGTTCTTCAATCAATTTTCAAGCAGTAAGAACCATTCTTCTTGAAGTTCTGTAGTATATTAGGGCCAGCGATGCCTTTAGAAGCCGTGCAGGGCTTTTATTCCCATTTTTGATGTTAGTGGCCTTAGGGGGGGGATCCAAACTTGGCTATCACAGCCTGTTGACTGATCTGTGAGTTCTGTGACTTTGGGAACAGGGATCTCAGCAGCTAGACAGCCGAGGCCTGAGCAGTGAGTGCTGATTATGAAAGTGCTTCTGCTATTTCCAGTCACCGTGACTCCTTCTGGACAGATCACTACCTCTGGTGCTCTCACCTTTGACCGCACGTCGACGGTGGAAGCCACAGCAATTATCTCAGAAAGTCCAGCCCAGGGGGATGTTTTCACAGGAGCCACTGGTAAGGATTGAGCTGCATGCCTGCTTGACATCCATGAGAAGGTAGGAAAAAAAGAAGCCTCTTGTATGCTGCATGAAGGATTTTAAGAACTTACACAGATGCTGTACGTAACCTGCTGTCACAAAAGAAGTTTGAATGTCTCATCCAGATGCTGCAGCTGCTTATGTACACCTCTGCTGATTTCTTTAGTTTTATGGTTATCTTTTTGTTTTTTGTTTTTTTTTTGCTACTTGTTCATCCTAAAATACTGCCTGAAAGAGCGTTTAAACCGAGTGGAAAATGCTAAATAAATGCTAGAAAATAGCAGAATAAATCAAAGAAAACAGAAATGCTTACCATAAATTTCAGCTCTTTCAGTCTAATTCCTGTATGTGGCTGTGGGTTCTGCAGGAGCAGCTGAGAGAGCTTGGAGTCCTTCTATCAGTGTAAAATAAAGTGTGTGAGGAGGAGACTGGCAATAATCTTTGCAGAAGCCTTGAGATCTAAAAGCAGAGAGAGCTGAAATCAGTGCACAGTTGCTTTGCTTGGTGTCCACGTGACATCCTGCTGCTGTTTCTCATTTGCAACCTCTGGAATTACCATACAGAATAGGAACCTGAAGAAAATGCGAAAACAAAAATAAACAACCCAAATTTGTGAAAGAAGTTTAAGACATGCCTGAAAGCTGTGCCATGCAGTGATTTGTAACGTTGTTGTTCTCCTGCAGTTCAGGATACCAACGTCCAGCAGCCGTGCCGGGTCACTCACCCGGAGCCTCACTACCCAGCTTACCAGGACAACTGTCAGATTTCACCTTTCCCTGAAGCTGCGCTGCCGACATCTCATCCCAAAATCGGTATGCTTTGTGTCCCTGGTGTTAGTCACATTTAGCAGTGCCTGGATTTAGGTGCTAACCTTCTTTTCCAGCAAGAGGTAGAGATTGAGCCAGGAAAATAAACTTTAATTTTTTCCTTACGAGTTTCGCAGTTAAGATTTGGATGAAGAAATTTTTTCCCCCCATGCTTTAGGCACTCTGTTATTGATGACTTTGATTTGTTGGTTCTTAGCAGAAGAAACTCTTGTGATCTTGTTTCCTAAATCTTTGCTGCCTAGAAGCTGCCTTTCAGAAGGCTTTTGCTTCAAAGATTTTGTCACTGCTTGTGTACTGTGGGTGGGTATGTATTTAATCTTCGATCCAAGAAAGCCATCTCCTCGCTTAGATTTAAAGCCAGACTTGCAGGAGCCTTTCTGAAAATTTCCACATCTATTTTTGAATCCACTAGCAGTGGATTCAGGTGGAGGCAGTTTGGAACAGGTTTGCTGTGCTACTCTTGTGTCCCATGTCAGTTTTCCATGTGTTACTGCTGACACCTGTGCTGGAATGATAGAAGCTGGTTAACGAAGGCAATGGGAGTCTGCCCTGCTGCAGGCAGACTGCAGTAAAAAAGAAAAGATGATACAAGAAACAACGTTCAAATCAGCCTTTCAGTAGGACAGGATGTGTTGATGATCAGGTAGATATCTCTACAGATGTAATTAAATCATGTGAACTTAATGATCTTTCATTTTCTTACTTATACAGAGCAGCACCATGCATTCCTGCTCTGTCTAGAATGCAATCTTGTTGGCTTTAAACCTCACTCAGCTCTTGATGCTATTAATTATACATTGATTATTTTTCATCCATGAAGCAAAGATCATTACTTTTTCTTGGCTGATACAGCTCTGCTAAAATGAGGAGTCGGAAGTAATTCCTGTTAGATAAGTTATCAAATACTGTGCTGTGATAAATCCTCCTCTGAAAATGCAGCAGAGGAAAACATTCTTCTGCAAACAGTTACTGATAAAAGACTGATTTACCTTGACTCATACAGAAGTGCAAATAGTTCTACGCCAATCATGGGAATGGAGCAAAATTACTGTTTTAATTAAGGGCCGTCGAGTGTAGAATATCAGCTGACCTGTATGATGAAGCTTCAGTGCTGTCTGAAAATTTTGCGCATCCCACACACAGTGACAGAACAGTGTTTTTGGACTTATTCCCTCTCCCCTAATCTCTTGTGGATTCTTTCAATTTGCATGAATATTTATTGCTAAGAGTTTGTTTTTGGAAAATCAAAACCAGTAAAGCCAGATGAAATTTGTTCCTGGAATTGCTAACTGATGTGAGCTGAAACTGTGTGCTGTTGGAATCCTAGATCCAGGTTTTCTGGTGCAGTCTTTGGAAAATGGAGGTCTGCAGAGCCACTGTAAGAGAGGGGCTCAGGTCTAAGCAAGGAATGTTTGATTAGGTACCAGGAGAGGAGGTCACATTTTTTTCTGGTGGCTTCCTGCTTGGTGTACTCAATCTGTAGCTACTGGCAGGGCCATGGTTGGGGTGTGAAAAAACAAAGGCTGCAACATCTCAGTAGTTGGGGGTCTTTTAATGTGACTTTTTGTATGCTTAGGAGAAGTACTGCTGGGTTTCTTTAACATTCACCTTCGTATCTATGTTATTCTAGATGATACAAGAGAAAACAAGTGAAGGAGTACAAAGAAATTACAACATTGGAGGTTTTCTTTTTAGGAGCATCCGAACTGGTGGTTTTGGAGGCTGCACGTTCATGTCATACATGTAATCTGGAGTAATGATAACTGTCTTGGTTTTATCCCAGACTTCAGCCAGTCTTCAGGTTATTGTAAGATCAGAGTTCAGGAAGTGTTAGGTGTGAACCTTGCAAGAAAACAAAACAGTGCCCTAATTCTTTGTATTTTACATTCCTTTTTTTGTGCTCAGTGTTGACCCCAATCCCTGCCCTGTCGGTGCCCCCCCAGACCCCCACCAAAGCCATATCCCCAGCAGTGGTGAACGGGCTGGAAGTAACAGAACAGCGGAGCTGGCTCTACTTGGAAGAGATGGTCAACTCACTGCTCAACACGGCGCAGCAGCTCAAGTCTCTCATCGAGCAGGCCAAGCAGGCCAGCTCCTCCTTCCGTGAGGCTGCTGTCACACAAGCCAAGATTCAAGCTGATGTGGAGAGAAAAGAGGTAATTATGCTGCAGGAGGTGAGATGGGGCATCTTTTTGGCAGAGCGTTGGAGATCTTTTCCAATTGTAATGATTCTGTGATTTTATGGGTTGTATCTCACTTTTTTCCACTGGGTAACCCTCTGGTAACCCTTATAAATTGTTTCTTAATGTCTTGAGAGCAGAGAAAAAGGTAAGTTATTCCCACAATAGGAAAAGGAGTAGAATACCTGGGATTCCAGCAGCTGTGGGTAGCAGTAGTATCAATTGTTCGTTGTTACAAGTCTGGAGCTCTGTTATCAACCATTTAGGAGGCATGGTTTGCCATGTGTCCTGGTATTGGGAAGATCATGAGTGCTCAACCCTGCAGCAGTTGCTTTCATTCTCTCAAGTGAGCAGGGCTATCAAATAGGTAATAAGAACAGCAAGCTTGGAGTTTTTTGGGAAGATTACCAGCAAAATTTAGAGCTGTCCCACTGAGCATTGTGCAAGCGAAGCTGATCTCTCTTGTGTCCTGTGATAAGTAAGACTGCAAGGCCAGCTGGCATGATGAGAGTGTTGGCTTTTATCCAGCAGCCCTTTTCTCCTTTATAGGGAATTATCTGCAAGGTCTGCCCTGTTCTCCCTTCTTCTTTTCTCCTTTTTTAATGCATGGTAGAGACCCTGGGTTCCTCTTAACACCTAACTCCATGCACTGCTGAATGCATTCTCATTCTCCCACAGATGCCCAGCTGCTGCTGTGACTTTGAGAGAGGCTGGAGAGGGGCAGTGTACTGTGAGACTCCTGCCCTTGTGGACAGCTGAGGAACTCCCTTTCTGTTGCTGTTACATTATTGCTAATGTCAGCTTTCCACTGAATTCATGGCAGGAGTGTGCAGCAAGAGGCCTTGAAGAAATGCGTGTGGGAAGATTTTGCTGAGAATCCTATGACATTCCCTGTAGCAGCTTTGATATTCTTTGCCACGTTGTCACTGCTAAACTCTTCTGTACACTGCATCCCTGATGTGCAGGAGTGTGAGACTCTGGGAGTCTCATTCTCCCTTGCCTTCAGTCTGGATAGAGTGGTAATTCATGCTGCTGTCCAGATTTGGGCTGCTAAAAGCTTTGTAGATTGTGGGACAGCACAAAATTGGAAGCTTTGACATTTTATAGATAGACATCTTACTTTGTTTAACTTTACTCTCTGCTCGTCTTCAGTTTACATGCTGTCATCCCCTCTGTTTATCCTTACAGAGCTTTCTTGAAACAGTGTTTCAGAATCCATTCCTCTCACCCTCTGATCCAAATCCAGCTCACTTCAGTGTGTATTTTCTTGCCTGAGGAACAGGACTTAAAATCACTCTTCAGTATTGATCTTTAAGTGCTGACTTCACAAGGGAAGGATGAGCACATGCTTATTTCTGGAGGAAGTCCTTTTCCCTGTAACTATTGAATTCCTAATTACTCTCTTCATGAGTCTTACCACTCTTATTTTGTAATGGGTTCCCCTTGGTTGCAGTGTTATTTTTTAAAATGTCCAAATAATAGTTTTCAAGCTTGCTGCTGTGTGCCAGCAGCTAGGCAATCCTGCAGGTTGCTATTCTAATCCATTCCAGTGAGTTCCATGTTTTTTGAAAAATGAGTTTTCTGGGTACACACCTGACATTGCAAGCAGTTACAGTAAATGCTGAATAATCTCCTGTCTGCTTTTGTGTTGGTCAGAGTTGTTTTTCCAATTTTGTGAATGCTTCCATGGTTTGCAACATATCTTTTTTCCTTTTTGTCTCTGGTCCAGCCACTTCTTTTGTCTTTTAAGTTGTATGAGGGGGAGAAAGAGGTGTCACCCTACTTTGGGACCCATTTAATACACAGTTGTGCCACTATGTTTCTACAAATTTAGAATTGAAAGGTTGTATGGGTGTATCTGAGCTGCAGAGCAAAGGCTTTACAGCAGATTAAATTATAATAGTGCTGTAGACTCAGTTCTTCCTGGAAGAGTGACTGCATACAGAGCAGGATTAATGAAATCTGTTAGTGGGAGCAAGCTTGTTCCCAACTGTATACACAAACTTCAATGCCATCACTGCAAATAATATGTATGTTTGGTTTTCACATCAGTGCAGACGCTCAGCATCCTGTTTCTTGAGGATATTGAGTTAAAGAGCTTTTGATCCTGTAACTGTCTGCATCCCTCCCTGCTAAGGAGTGGTGCCCTCTGGCAGAACAGCGAGGCAGAGGGCTCAGAACAGCACAGCCTTCACCTGCCCTTCGGAGAGAGTGGCCCCAAGTTGTACTCTCTAATGATAGCATTAGGTGCTTGTGGGAGTTACAGAGCTCTGAAAGGTGAGAGGTAGGCTTTTTCCCCAAGCTTTCCTAGAGCAGAAGAGGCGTTCATGCTGCCTGTGGACTTTTGTTGTTACCTGTGAAGTCAAAGAGCAGGCATCACTCTTTCATCCTGCTCCCATTTGAACACTGAAGATTCCCCTTTTCTACAAGATTTTGAAGGTGGAAATGCCAACATCAGAGAGTAGCTGCGACAGGAAGAGGATTTGCTAAAAGTAGCAAATGAGAACCGTAATAAATTGTAAGTGCAGCATAACTTAGAAGCATCGATTAATTTTGCAGATTAATTGCATTTCCAAATGCATGGTCCTACCTAGAGACAGCATCTTCAAAAGCAACAGAGGTGCTGAATTGGGAAGCATTGAGTACTTAGGGTTGAGCTGCAGAGAAGTGGAATATAAAAGCCTGTCTTTGTATAAGATTAGAAAAAATATCCAAAAATACACTTGTCAGATGTAAACGAATGGAAAATATGAGATGATGTAACTTGGAAGTCCCCATGTGCTCTATTGCTATTTTTTGTCCTTTTTAATTTCTGTATGTAACATAAAAAAGGATTAGGATAGGGTCTCTGAGTAAAAAAAGTTGTAGAAAGGCACCAACCAGTCAAGTCCTTGAAATATGTACAGTTTGTAACCCCAAAATCTACAGTTCCAGTATTTGTGAGAGTATCTCCTTTGCGATCATTTCTTTTAAAATAGAACTGTTCCTGGAGCCTAAGGAAGAGGCTGAAAAAACCTTTCACATTGTATGTGCTGTCTGCAACATCTCATGTGACTCTTGATGATGACAGCTCCTTAATTAACGAGCAGAGCCCTCACAGAATTGGTTCAGACACAAAACGGACTCTGTTTGAGAAATGTGGATGCCATAAACCTTGTGCTTTCAGTGAGTAAACATGCAGCTGGTGCTCAGCCTGTGTGTGGCTTTGTGCTGGCAGGGACACCAAGTGTGTCCATCAATAACATTGATGTTATCTGGAAGTTTTGAGGAGTGATGTCCTAAAAGAAAACCAAGCCATAAGCTCTCCAGCTCAGTTTATCTAAAATGCATCATTACACAAAATTAAAATATCAAAATACTTGTAGGCTTTATAGAATTGCAGCATTTTGCATGGGATTCACTAAGTACAGCTGCTGTGTCAGAACTCTGCACAGCTGTTCAGAGAGTGCTCTCCTCTGTTGTAATTAAATAGCTTGTAGATCAGGATATTGGATCCTTTGGCTTCTACTGGGATTTTGGTTTTACTGCAGTTCTTAATTAAGGGAGAAAAAAACAATTAGGAAGAGGGTGTATGGGGCAAGAAAGGCTTAGGATTGCTTGGAAAAGATGTTTGCCCACTGTAGGATTGGCCCCAAAGGAGCAGAGTAAAGACTGTACTTTACACAAAGATCTTTGGAAATGTAATTTCTTCTGAGAGTGCATTAAGCTGTTGTTTGTATTAGATAAACTTCAGAAGGGGGAGAACACATGAACCCACCAAGTTCTGTGCTGTAGGGTACAGCTGGAGGATGCAGATCTTCAGTACAAAGATAAAAAAAAATCAGGGTTGAAATCTGACAAGTGTTTTAATTGCAGTTGTCATCTTGTTGTGATGTGGTGATGCCTGCGGAGCCCTGTCCATTTGAAAACAAAGTGGAAGATTAAATCTGTTAACAGCTGGGCCATCTGAATTATTTTTTAGACAGATTAGAACAGTTCAGGGCTGGAGAGTATGAAATTAATCTAAAAAGGATCGGGCACTTAAGAAAAGTAGTTCTGGTAAGCAAGCAATGACATCCTCCAAAGCAGCTATGGAAATGGTTGAGAGCTGGGGCTCATCAGTTTGCTGGAGATGGTTTTGCAAGAAAACCATCTGCGTGTGTTTACTTGACTGTCTTTGTTCCCAATCCTTTCCCTTCTCCACAGTTTTTCAATGAAGTGACTGATTTGCAGTGTGGGCCAGGCAGAACCAGAGGGCTCAGAGATAAAAAGGAGGTAGAAGGGAGTTACGTTTCCATCAGCAGGATTTGGGGACCCAGAGCAGAACTGAAGGGGGTCTGACAAGCACAGGAGGTGGCTGGACTTCTGCTCGGCTTCCTTTCTCTTTGGCAATCCCACTGGAAAACAGGATGAGCCACATTTATGGGAGGATGCAATGGACTCTGGAGCTGTGGCAGCTCTCAGAACTGGAATTCTGCATCTTCCGCCCAATAACTATCTCTGTGCAGGTGTCACAGAGGGGCTGTATTTGCAGGGTATATTTATGCAGAGATTTTCAAGAAATGCTGTCTCACAGTGCTTTGGCATCTGTGCATGCACTCTCCTCACCAAAAAGAAGTTTAAAAACACTGTACAGTGCATGTGCTGTCTCGCTAATAAGCTTGATCTTGGCTATTTGTCTAATTGTGGTAGAACCAGATCATAGCTCCTGCACCAGACAGCAAGAGGTTTCCCTACCTCCACCTCCATCTCCCTGAAGAGCATTTTCATCTCAACTTTGTGTCATGGTAACAAAAAGGTTCTCAAGGTTGCAGTTTCACAGGAGAATAAATACTGAGATGTCAGTTCATGGAGGCACTTAAATTAAGCCTTTCATCTCCTTACATGTTGGGTCATATCACTCCTTGATAAACCTGCTTTGCCTGAAAGTGAGGGTTTTTTTCCTTACTTTCTAACTGTTCCTCACGGAGTTTAAATCAGGTTTAGCACGTAACCTAAATCAGGGCTAGTTTTGCATCCCTTTGTGTGAGCACTTTGCCTCTCAGCAGCCCTGGCTGTTGAGCATGGCAGGACAAGGTGCAGGAGCACCGAGCTGGACTTGATTTGCAGCACACCCAGAGTAACTTTAAAATTCACCTTCAGAGAGCTGTTTAGTGGATAAGCTATCTGAAAGTCCTATCATCTTTTTTTTAAAAGGAAGAATAGTCATTGTGTTTTATGTTGTTTTTGAAGTCTTGGGTGTGTTAATTTTGTCTTGATTTTTTTCTTCTAACCCAATCTCATACCTTCTGGGCTGTTCCACCTCACAGGATTCTCACATGCCTGTTGGTGGATCAGGATCACAAGGCTCGACTTGTAACTTTGCCCAGGAAGATGGCATGTGGCCCTATTTCCTTGGCATTTTCCTTGGGTTTCCTTTGCTAACTTGTCACTGTCTCTTGTGGGATGCAGTTCCTTGTACACAGTGAAGCCACATGTTTTAAGATTGGATGAAGTAAGGTTTGAATAAATGTACTTAACTGACAGTTTGTCAGCTTGTTACGCCTGGCTTCTTCACCTGAGTCTGCACTGTGACACACAGTCCCTCTCCTGTAAGGGAGGAGTGAGGTTCCCTTTGGTCCTCACAGAACTGCATGAACCCTCCATACAGACCTCACTTTTCAAGCCCTTGTTGCATACTCTGGCTGTGAAATGACACGCTTGCTGTGTTTTTTCCTTGCAGCAATATCAGAACCAGTTATTTCAGCAAACAGAAGATGTGGATGGGAAAACAGAAATTATCATCAAGGTAAGCTCTGGTTGAGTCATGTTTTATGAGGAGTCCTTTGTGTTGTTGCATTTAAAGGTCCAGAAATCATATATTCTGTGGCTGGCATCATCTTTTGAGCCTTCCCTGGCAGGACAGGTGCTCTGTTCTGGCAAAGTGTGTCTTATTTCCACATTTTCACAGCCCCTTATGGCCCTCTGGAAAGGTTAGTCAGTCTGAGGCACCTTCAAGTAGTGGCAGTGCAGCACCAACTGGTGGGTATCACTGCAGTGTGATAGGAATCTTTTTTCCTTTTTGCCCTGTAAACTGGATTTCAAGCCCTGTTTTGGTAGCCTCGATTTATGGCTAAACATCAGGAGCACAACTGTGGTTCAGTCACGTCACCTGCTAATTGTAGGTACCCTGATGTGCTGTGAGCCAGTGGTGTGATGAGCTCCGTGCTGACTGGGGCGCTGGTGGCTGGATTGGTAGGGCTCAGGAGAAAAACGAGTCTGCAGCACTGAGTTGTGCTTGTGTTGGGCACTACACTGATGGTGCTTCTCAAGCTGAGAAAAGTTTCCTGTGCCAGACTAGCTCTGATGTGCTAATAATGTGTCAGTAACTTAATGAGCTGGGAACGGAATGTTCTGCAGCATACTTATTTTTGTGATAACTCAGCAAGATCTCCACCTAGCGATACAGGCTATGTTAATTGATGTCACCAGCATAAGATTAAATTGCTAGTCACAGAAGCATCCTTTAAAAACCAAGTGTGATTTTCAGTCTCCGTATGCTACCTCATCCTCTGGGCTTAAGTCTCGTGCTCCTGTTACAGTCTTCTTACTTTTACTCCTCTGCCTTCTGCTTCACTGCAGTCACCCCTCCATTGTTGTTCTTTCTGATGTGGTCCCTTTGCTTCTTGTTTTCACAGCAGTCGTGTGTCAACTGTGGCCGCGAAGCAATGAATGAGTGCACCGGATGCCATAAAGTCAACTACTGCTCCACTTTCTGTCAGCGGAAGGTATAAGAGTGTCTTTGAGCTGGAGGTGGAGCCGTGCAGAGGGAACACGTGGCACTGGGGTCAGCCTGCGTGCGGGCTGAGGGCACAGCGCAGACAGGAACGTGCTGTGGAGTAGGGGATCACTGTCTGTGAGCCAGGGTACAGTGGTGGGATGGGTCAAACAGGGAAGGGATGGCCCCAAGATCTGCACACACCTTCTGAAAGAGGATGTCAAAGTGTGAGTACAACCAGCAGTGAGGCGTGGACACTTCACTGTGGAAACTGGGGTGAGCTTGGTGGGAGTGTTGTACAAGGCTTCCCAGCTGCTCCCTGGAAGCTGCATGCTCCTCAGTACCTCTGATCCTGTGCCACTGAAGCTGTAGTTCTCTTATTCCTCAACTTATTATTCGTACTGGTATGGATGATAGGATGAATTGAGCACACTGAGACAAATTGTATAGCTTTAAAATGGGAGGTGGAAACAGGTATGAAGAGGAAGCTGCAGGGCTTTGTGTTTCTCATAGGATCCTTACAAAGATCCTTGGCACCTCTTGCTTTAGAAGAGAGGATAATCTGGTTTAGCTACAGCCTCTGCGACCTGTCCAGGTTCATTCCTTGTCAACTGAATGGAGCACCTGAAGAATTTTGACTATTTCTTTGGCCTATACCAAAGCGTAATGGTGGCCGTCCCTGCACAGCAGGAAGGCTAAAATTTCAGAAGAATGAATGGTTGCTTCTTGTAGATAAATGATAAAATCTGCCTGCTGTCCCCAAGCATCTCAAAGACAGTAATTTCACCCCATTGTTCTGTCAGTATGAGATGTGCTGGGAAATGTCACCAAGTGGTCATGTGCTGGTCTCCCTCTGAGGCAGCTTATAACTGCTCCATGAAGACTCAGCCTTTAAAGGGAGCTTACAGACGAGGGGGAGAGGAACTTCTTACACAGGCAGATAGTGATAAGAAAGGGGGGTTGGTTTTAAACTAAAAGAGGGGAGATAAAGATGTGAGGAGGAAATTTTTTACTCATTGGGCAATGAGGCCCTGGCATTAGCTACCCAGAGAAGCTGCGGGTGCCCCATTTCTGGGCTATTTCTTCATGGCCTCTCCATCTGCTCTTCCCTGCAGGACTGGAAGGAGCACCAGCACATCTGTGGTGAAGCCAATGCAGTGACAGTACAGGCTGATGATGTGCATGTCGCGGACAATGTGATGGAGAAAGTCTCTGTCTGAACACACCTACCTCTGACCCCATGGCAGTGCGGTGCAGCCGGCTGGATCGGCGGCCTGATGCAAACGGTCTGTCCTTTCCAAACAAACTCATTTCTGAAAGACTTTTTCATACTGTGACAGTGTTTGCCTACTTCCAGTCCTACTGCAAACCTCTGGATAACGCAGAGACTGAGAAATCCGGCTGGAGGAGGCAAACTGCAGTCTCCCATCCGGGACCCTCCTCCAGCTTGAGGAAGCTTAGATTTTGCCAGACTGAAATCTCCACTGTGTGGATAACAACAACCTCATCGTCTCTCTTGAGATGGATTAAGAATAGTTGCTGCAATTAGATTTGCTGTTGTTCTGTTTTCCCCATGCCTCCCTACCTCTTATTTGGAAAAAGGAATGATCCCTCATTTGGTTTATTTAATTGCCTTGAAAAAGTACAAATTCTTAATTTGCCTTTGGAAGGACTTTGTTTTCTTTTGTTTATCTGTGTTCCCTCTATGCTGGAGAAATTTGGAACACATTGAAACTTCTGCACTTGAATACGACTGAAAAATCACATCTTGCTCAATAAAATGTGATGAAGGCACGTGGACAAATGCAGCATGCGAGGGGTGCTTCTGCAGGGAGTTTTGCACAGAGAGGTGTTGGCTCTTAGTCTTTGCAGGACATCAGTGTGAATGTGATGTGACAGTGGGGAGGAGCAGCTCTCAGCACAGCAGCATGCCCTGACTGCAGTGCCAAAATTTGAGCAACCTCCAAGTAAGAGTGCACGGAGAGTTCTGGCCTCTCACTGCTGCTTAGTAGCTCCTAATTAAAGCAGTGGTGAGCATTAAGAGGTTATTGGCTTTATTCACTACTCCAAAATGCTTTAATTAATAACATGCTGCTTTGATAATTTAGGCTGTGGTTGCTGTTACTAACTTTCTAGTTGCTCACTGGAATGAGTTTTCATCTTGGTGCTGAGAGTGAGGACCAGTACTGATGGAAGGAAGGTAGCAGTGTGCCCCCCTCCTCTCAAGGAAACCATTCCTTAGTGGGAAGCCAAGCATGAGCTTTGCAGGCTGAGAACAGAAATTACACATGGAGCACTCTGGGGAGGGAAACAGGCAATTCCGTAGAAACCCATCGCAAGCAACGTACCCACTCTTCAAGCTTCCCCAAAGTCATCCTTCAGTATTTGCAATCGTTTCTTCTTACATGATGAGTGCCAGTTTTCTAACTCTTTAAGATAATTACTTAATGGAAAAGATGCTCTTAATTGAACCCACAACAATACAACTAATTTACAAGGTTTGTTGCCTCCATCTATTGCTCATTAAGGTTCTGACTAAAGGAAGCAGTGCGTCGTGCTGAACACCCTGCGTGTTTTGGTTTAAGCACCCACTTGTTCTCAGCTGCATCTTGCATTCCCCCCAGAGGAACATCCTTGCAGAGCACTGCTGGACTGGGAGCGGAGCTCTGTGTTGGTTCAGGGACAACTGCAGCTACACAAAGGGATGAGCACAGCCATACTGCATCCATGCTTGCCAAACCCACGTTTGTGCAGATAACTGAGCAGCAATTTATACCGATGCAGAAAGCTCTCCAGTATCGTCACTATGCTGCTTGTGGATGAGTATATCTAATGCTTTGGTTACAGTCTGAATTTTGTTTTTATTGCATCTTCTGATTAAGGAGATTCTGAAGAGCATGAGTGGGACAACAATGAAGATGTGTAGGTATGACTCATGTGTGATTAAAGTTCTCTAGAAGCTTCTCATCAGGGCCCTGGCATTTGGGGAGCTACCCCCTATACAACACTGAACTTATAAGACTGCAGTATAATTGTTGTGGCATCATAACCTGTTTGTTTGTTGATGATAAATTGATGAAGCAATCGTTATCCTTAGTCAAAAAAAAAACTCAGGACCTCCTAACAAGTCTTTTATTTCTAAGCACATAAATTACCCCTTGGAAAATAAGAGCCCTGCATGAAAATCAGTAGTCAGAAGATAGCCATGCTGTGCAATATCCGCTGTCTTGTGGGGTCTCTTGATGTCTACATCAAGCACCAAGCTTGAAGTGGCTACGCCTGCAGCTTCCAGTGAGAGGAATACCCAAGCTGTAACCACTGCACTCACCTGTAACTTCTCACAGTGGAGACAGAGGGCTGGGAACCACTGTCCTCAAGCTGCCATCCTGGAACCATCTTTCTTCCTTCCCTCCTCCCCAACAAAGACAGCAGACCTTAGGCAGAAATAGATCTTTAATGAACTATACAAAGTTATCCTGGTTGTTCCCTCCAGTTCCGCGAGCTCAGCAGAAAAGGTGCAAGACTTTGCGGAAGAAGTTTCTGAACTCGGCGTTGAAAACAGTGTAAATGATGGGGTTGACGGCGCTGTTGACGTAACCCAGCCAGGTGACGATGCTGGTGACTTGAGTGGGAATGATGCAGGACTTGCATAGAGCCCTTGTAATGTGGACCACAAAAAAAGGTGTCCAGCAGAAGAGGAAAGCACCTGGAAGGAGAAAATTAAAGAGACAAAGCATTGTGTTAAAAAGGGTTGGAGTTAACAAATGCAGAGCTACGATCTCTCCATGACAAAAATTTTGGGCAACTTCCTAAATGTTAGTGAAGAAAAGGTATAAGTTGTGTGTCATTTTTGGGTTAGCATTTAAAATATGGGTTAGCATTTAAAATATCAGGAGTTACAAAAACTGAGAGCTGAAGTGAAGGTTGAATTAAAAACACCCTACGTGTGTTTTTTCCTAGGAGTGGTGCTACTCTGGATCAAAGGGAGACTGAGGCACTCCCTAGAGCAGGTTCAACAAAAACGTCTGAATCCTGTAGGACCACACAGCACATTTCTCACCCTCCTTGACCAGCCTCTGCCACCAGCCACTCACCAACAACCACAGGCAGTACCCTCATGGCCTTCCGCTCCCGGCCGTTGATCTTGGCCCGCTTCTGACTGTGTGCCGGGTGTGGGTACTTGAGGTGTGGGTAGGAGACAGTCTGGAGCCCATTGCTTATCACATAGTCCCCGGAAAGGGAGTGCTCAGGGTGTGAATAATGGTGGTACTCGTCCGGCTCCATGCCAACCCGCTCTCTCTCAATGAAGGGTGAGGGGTGATAGAGCATTCTGTTGCCCCCGTAGATGCCACCCCTTAGCTTGGCCTTCCTGGCTTCTTCCCAGCGCTTGAGTCCTTGGAACATGGCGCAGTAGAGCACCAGCATGACGGGGCAAGGGATGAAGAAGGAGCAGATGGAGGAGTACACAATGTAGTTGTCATCCTCCAGCTGGCACAAGCTGGGGTCCCGGTTCGGGACATTGTTGAGGCCGAATATGACTGGGGATGCCACAGCAAAGGCGAATATCCACGTGGTGGAGATGAGGATCAGCTGCCGCAGGTCGATCTGTCGCCGGTTGTAGTTCAGCGGGACTGAAACAGCGATAAACCTGCCAACACAGGTGGGTCAGTGCTCGTTTTGGGGGTAGCACCACTAGTAAGGTAAGGTAAGAGAATGGAAGCAGCTTGATGCTGAGACATGAACCCTCTCCTCCGGTGTAAGGAGGAGGAAGGCACTTACCGATCCACGCTGATAGCACAGAGGTTGAAGATGGAAGCTGTGCACAGCATCACATCCATGGTCATCAGGGTATCGCAGAGGACAGTGCTGAGGGACCACACACCACCCTGAAACTGAACGACAAGATCCCTGGGTCAGTAGGTGCCTCTAACATGCAGGGAAACAGCTCTGTATATATGTGTATAAAATGCCCCTGGGAGCATCCTTGGAGCAGGGCTTGTCCCCTGACTCCTGCTCCTGTGTTCCTGAGGCAGGTCTGTACCCTGTGCTGGGTGCCAGGACTGAGGCCAAGGACCAAACCAAAGGCTTCTTCTCCCAGCTGTAGCCCCGAGCAGCACCTGGACTGAAGGCTTCCATTTGTGCCACGTTTCTGAACCAACCTTCGAGACAGCTCTGTCTGGCGCTCCAGCAGAGAGATATTAGGGTTGAAATTCCCTCAGGGCTCTTCCTCAGCTTGAAGCACAGTCTTTCTAAGTCTGGCCCAAGCGCTTGGTGTCTCCCTGTGCTCTTTGGGTATCTAGTGACCTGTGCAAACTTGAGGTTTTTGACATTCATGGTCCTCTCCATTCACATTTCCAGGAGCAGGCAGCTCTGCCCGGATTAGTATCAGTCAGTACTGATGTCACGCACAGGATTATGATTAGTGGAGCTGCAAAGCCAAAGGAGACTCTGGAGAAACTGTTGGGCTATTTTTATACACCCATCTCCTTGAGAGGCCCCATGAGCTTCCAGAAGAACACTGGAGTCAGACCTGGGTGTTTCATTCGGGCTTTTCTCTAGGGCAGATCAGCTGCTCCAAGCAGAATTTGGGAGCTGAATCCTGAAACACAACCCTCACATTTTTTACCAAAGCTTCACCAGGTTCCTGTCCAGTTTCATTGGAGAAAATTTGACTCTGTGAGCTGTGGTGTTCAAAACCCATTTGTGGTTTCATGGAATGAATGGGTTCTGAACAGGCCCTGAGCTGCCAAGCTGCAGCATCTTCCAAGGACTTCCAAGAGCTTTCGCTATGGGGCTCACATTGGGTGCCCTGAAAGTTGAGCACTCCCACAAAATGTGCCCGGAATCCCTCTGGTGGAGGAGTGACTTTGGATTAGAGGCTTTGCTTGGTCATGTGGCTGAGTGGTACCTCATTACAGCAGGTTGCAGAAGATTAGCCCATCAAGGTACACAGTGTAAAGCTTTACGGATCACAAACAGCTCAAGCCGCCTTTAACAAGTGCTCCAGAACAACTCTAATTTTTTTTTTCCCACATTCTTTGCTTTTTTTGCACGAGACCCTCCATTTTTTTTTTTCCCCAGTAGTGCTGGTGCTGAGAAGAGACAGCCAGGCAATTGCACAGCAAAGCATGCAAGCTGTCTTCCTTACCAAATAAAACAAAGCTGCAAATACAACCCCACGATGTCTTTTGTAAGGCATTCTCTTCACAGATCTGGCAAGGTTTCACTCTTATTTCATGTGATAAAAGTACATGCTTCTCTCTGGTGCCACACAGGAGTTTCATAGCTGTCCAGCCCTATGAGGAGGCTCACTGGGAGCAGAGCACGTGAAGAGGACTCTGGTGGGGATGGCATCCAAAATACGATGCTCAGAAAATAGCAGGCTGCAAACTTAGGAGGTCGTAGAATCATAACATCGCTAAGGTTGGAAAAGACCTCTAAGATCCCCCACCCAACCCCACCACGTCCCTCAGTGCCACATCTCCACGTTCTTGGAACTCCTCTGGGACAGTGACTCTACCACGCTTTGGGCAGCCTGTAACAGTGCATCACCACTCCTTCAGGGGAGAATTTTTCCCTAATATCCGACCTGAGATGCCCAGCTGGATTTCCAGGCCTACCATCAGCAAGGCCATGGTTCAAGGGTGTAACACAGAGAAAGTGCTGATCTGAAGAGCCCGAGCCTGGTGAGAAGGATGTGGCACCAGCACTAATCTTGGTTTGTGAGTGCAAAGTCCACCATATCTGATTCCATAAGTTTCCTGAATGTCCACAAGAAGCTGACTGCCTCTGCTTCTGCTCTGCGGGCAGAGTGCCTGCTGGAGAGAATCATCTTCCCCGACCTGCAGAGGTGCAGGATAAGAGTGTAGAGCTGCTAAAACTGTCTCCTCTTTTTCGTAAATGCTTACACGGATCTTAATGGCAAAGATGTTTACATAACTGTACCTCGCACAGCTCCTGCCAGCAGCTTCCTGGCTCGGCCCCATTTCATGGCTCAGGCAAGGATTAGGGAAGGAGCTGAGCAGGGTGAAGCAGGTAGGAGGCACAGCTACAGCTGAGCAGCATGACAATAGTCTGAAAGCTCAGTTTCCTGTGCTGGTTGGAAGATCAGAGCTGACCAAGGACAGCGATGTTTGGATTGAGGGAAGACGAGCTTCATCACATCCATTTCAACACTCCTTAAGGCCCCAAGTAGTAACCTGGGCTGCCAAGGCAGGTAAAGACACAGAAGGATTACAGCGCAGAACTGATAGTTTTGAACAGGTACTGAAGTGCACTTAAGGGAGCATTGTTGCTAAGGCACAGGTAGGGCAGCTCAGGCTCCTAAAGCTCACCCAGGGTTGACCACCCATCCTGAGCATCCAGCAAGTGTCTGTCATCCCCAGGGAGACACCACAATGCTCTGGCCAGTTGGAAATTCTTCTCAGGGGCACAACAGGGTATGTCAGCTGGGGTCAGGAAAGGGGACAGGGGAAGGGAAGAGGAAGAAAAGGGCAGAAGAAGGGAAGAAACCCAATCAGCAAGAAATAGCTAAGAATGATAAAACACAGAGGCTTCCTAAGTACCAAAATTGAGACATGCATGGAAAAGCAAAAGCACCCAACCTAAGCAGTATGGCAGGGCTCTTGGTGCAGGGGAAAGAGAGGGGAATCTATTACTCTCCTGTTTGTCACTGGTCCTTAGGGTCCCTAGCAGAACCTGTGCCTCTAGAAGAGCTCTGGGGAGACAGAGGTCACAATGTCCCAACAAATCCTAGGACTAGGTAGAGAGACTAAAAGCATCCTAAGCTCTAATCCGCTGCCTTCCTTGCTTAAGAAAATATAGGCCCAGCCCTGGTGTGGGAGAGGAGAGGAGAGGAGAGGAGAGGAGAGGAGAGGAGAGGAGAGGAGAGGAGAGGAGAGGAGAGGACTGGGACACAGCCAGCGTGATCTTGTGCTGGCCTTTAGGGATAGGAACACCACCCTGCCCCACTCACAGGGACAGCCCCTTCCATCCCTTAGAAAGCTCTTACAAACCCCATGGCAATGAAAAATCACAAAGTAAGGAAAGTTGACTGACAGCCATCTTGAGCCTACAGGAACACTTTCTGGGGCTGCTCTCTCTGCATGGTATTACATCTCAGCTCTCCCCACATCTGAAAAGAGGTCCTCTGTCTTCTACACTTCCAGCTACTGCAAGAATAGGTGCAAAAAGTCAGCTTTTTTGGTCCATGGGTGCTTTCCTCCATTTGTCTGATACAGCTGCAATGGGAGCAGGGAGAGCCATGTGCAGGTCCAACAAATCCCTCTGAAACTGCAGGAAGATTGGTTGGGCCAGGAAGAGGAACAACAAATCTCCCTGCAATCTCAAAGCATCATCAGTCCTCAGGCAGAATCAATTTATTTCTGTTTCACAACAAGATGCAAAACCACTCAGGAGCACCTGAATTGCACACTTCCCTTTCCCTCAGTTGTTGTGGTCTCAGAGGGGAGCAGGTTTCAGAGGTGACTCCAAGCCTGCCAAACAGAGCACATCAGCCAGGAGGAATCAAGCAGAAAGCCACCAAAGCCACTTTAAGGGTGACCACATCTCTAAAGAGGCAGCATCCCCTCCTCAACTTGTCACAGCAATCTGCTTCCTGGCTAAAACCTTACAACCCTACTCACAGCGGCCAGAATACAGAATGGGAGTTCACCATCTCTTCCTAAACATTGGCTGATGGCAAACTGGGATGCTCACAGTGCAGCGGCTCCCGGAGCAGATCTCCCAGGGCATTGGGGCTTGGGGAATTTGGGGATCAGAACATTTGGGGATTGGGGTTTGGGGCTTGAGGAGCTTGGGGCATATGGGGCACTGGGTCTCGGGACCTTGGGGCTTGTGGGCATCTGGGGCAGCCAGGACAAAGGGGGGTACCCGTACTTGTCCGGAGCCAACTGCTGTCACCTCCAGCGGTCCAGGATGCCAGCAGGGACGGCAGAACCCCCCCCGTTCCGCCTGCCGCCCCCCGAGCATCTCTCACCTCGGAGTAGACGTAGAGAGGCAGGACGAGGAGGGCGAGCAGCAGGTCGGCGACGGCGAGGCTGACGATGAAATAGTTGGTGGTTGTCTTGAGCGCCCGCTCCGTGCACACGCTGAGGCACACCAGCCCGTTGCCCCCGACGATGAGCAGGATGAGAACGATGCCCAGCACCAGGGCGGCGATGTTGTGGCCGGCTGGAGGAGGAGGAGGAGGAGGCGGCGGAGCGGTGCCGTTGCACGGGGCGGCCCCGGCGCTGCCGTTCCCCATGGCGCCGGGGCATGGAGCCGCCGAGCCGCCGCCTCCCCGGCTCAGCCTCCCGCGGGAGGGAGAAGCGAAGACGCTCAGCCGGCTCCGAACTTTGCGAGGTGATGGGAGGAGCCTCCCCCGGGCCGCCCCGGGACAGTAAGCGGCTCACCGGGATGCGGCGGGGGGGTGGGGAGGAGAAGGGAGTGAGGAAGGGGGGGCTGTGAGATCCGTTCCAGCCCAGCCGTGTTTGTGTGCTTTCTGTACGTTGAACACAGCCGTCTCCCTTGTCATGAGCCTGGCTGCGCTGATGGGAGTTAGGAAATAGCGGAGGCATCGGTCCCACAAGCGCTGCGCTGCGAATACAGCGGTGGATCAAAGCGTTGTCGGATCTTAGCAAAGCCCTGGCAAAGCTAGAGGAGAAAAAAAAAAAAACACAAACCGACAGGTCTTCGAGTAGAAAATTGTTTCAAGTTAGCCCGACCTGAAGATTTTCCCTAGGAGATTCAAAGCAGTGATATCAACGGTGATGAGAGAAATCATTGCTCTGATCTCCAAGAGCATTTGAAGGACTGTGAAGACTCTGGAAGTCCAGAAAATGGCAAACATTGCCTCTTTTTAAATGGAGAGGGTCAAGACATCAGGGAACTAAAGAGCAATCTGTCATGTTTTGAGTAGCAGATCTTGTTCAATGATTTCCCTGTGAGGAGTTGAGGGGGGGAGGGTATTGGTTGTGGGGCACTGAGATGTCCCGACCTGATCCCTTTGCCCCCTCAGAGGGCATATCACTGCATCACCCCCTGTGCTGGCAGAGAAACACGCTTCATTTCTAACAGAGCCACGGGCTGGGGAAGGACAGGAGGGCTGTGACCCCCATTTCTAGCTCAGGTGGGCACGGAGATGTGAGACCTCATCCTGCATCTTTCCAGCTGTGCTGCCAAACCTCGGCTCAGGTGTTTGGCGTCAGGGATGTCACTGACCATCCCATCCTGATCAGCCTTCTGTTGTGGAAGGCAGCAGGAAGGGAAGCATTGCAAGAAAGGATCATTTACACCAGAAGGAAGGGGGAAACTGCATTACTGCCTGCTTTTTATGAGACAAGAAGCTTCTGAGGTCTGCTAAAAGGTCCAGATATCACTTCCATCTAATCCAGGAAGAGACTGGTAGAAAAATTCCTTGCTCCAGCCTTCTGTGCCCCTCATCCCCAAATTCCTTTACTTTTGTGTGAAGGAAGACACAAACAATCCTCAGCATCTGCAGCATGGAAAAGCCAGAGCCCCGTTTCCAGCAGCGAGGACTTGGATCTCAGTTCCATCCTCGCCCTGCAGCTAACAGCACTTAATCCTACTGTCTGTTTTATCCAGCTGCTTCTGGCTCCACAGCTGCATATGCGAGAAGGAGAAAATTACCTTGGCTTAAGTACTCAGTGGGCACTTTGCCTTGCTAAATATTGTCTCCAGAGATGTGATTTCCGAGCTTTTTTCCAAAATCAACAGGAGCATTGTCTCTTTGGGAGCTGCCTCCTACCCCCAGCATAGCACTGCCATCTTCCTATTGATCCCAATACCCGTGTGTGAGTCTGTTCTGCTCCTTGCAGATGACCCAACTTTGATGTGGAATTAAACCCGTAAGGCAGAACAAAGCTCTGTCCTGCTGGCTCCCTGCCAGTCGCAGAGGGATTCCTTCAGGCCTTCTGCTCTGCCTGGAGCTTCCACGTTCCTCTGGAAAAATTCACCTGCTGCACAGGTAGGCATAAGCAGGGCTGCTCACCTCTCAGGTCAAGAAGAGCTGGTTTGGCAATATCACTTGTAGCAGAGCCCTTCTACTCCAAGGAAACAGCTCAAACTAGCCAAGGGAGGCCTTGAGGTGCATTAGCAGAACTGTGGACAGAATGCCCTTAATTTATTTCTGTTTAACCACCCTGAGCAGCACAGGCATCAGGATTGAATTGTAACTGCAGGCCTTCTGCCTTCCCACAGGGATTAATGCCATTTATCTAAGCTACTTTAACACTCAATTTGTATTAATTATCTTGATTTTCCCTGCGGGTTAGCACAGAATGGCTCTAAACTGTGTGGAAGTCCTTTTGCCATACTAGCGATGCTTTAATCCTAGACCAGTTTAATCCTGGAGTAGATTAATCTAATGTGAAATATAGCTTTTGACTTCCAAAAGAGAGCAGCCGTGCAAGGCGCTAATTAGGGCAGCTCTTCCTTTGCAAACTCCCAGGCTACAGCAATGCTTGCCCACTGCTTCTAAGTCCAGTGGTTTCTCTGTGTGTAGTGCACCCTTAGCAAATACAGCGTTTGTAAACCACATCCCCAGCACTATGTAAGCAGTCACGAGCTAGAAGGTTTTGGTGGCTTTGCTGTGAGTGACCCCAGAAAGCTTTCTTTTCTCTGCTGGTAGATTAGACACAGTCCATTGCTTGGGTAAGAGGAACTGTGCTCGTAGCAGAAGAGATGGGGTAACACGTCAGCACATCCAAAGAAGTCATCTCATGTCACTGCAAAAAGAAAAAATACAGCAAATGGCAGAGCCGTGTGTCACCCTTGCAGAAAGCAAGAAGCACTATCAGGCACCCCTGCCAGGGCTGGGATGTTTGAGTGATGGATGGTGAATATTTAAGACCTTTGAAGAGTTCTGATGCAATAGATAATTTTGAACAATGCTTTTTTTTGCCTGGGTACACAGCTTGCAGAGTGTCCTGGTTAACCAGGCACACTGTCACATCCTTTGGGCTCAGTCCAAGGGTTGGAGAGGTTGTGAAATCACCTGCAGCTGCTTCTCTTGACACAAAAAATACTTCATCCTGTACTAAGCAGGCACTGTGAAGGACACAAGGGGTGAACAGTGGCACTTTCTACCAGCAGAACCACCCCAGCTTCACATAAGACCAGTCCATCAAGGAACCATCTGCTCTTTCCCTTGCACCAGGAAGGGAAGAGACCCTCTGTACAGATTCACATCGAGTCTTCAACAACGAGGCTCTGGTGTTCAGTATTTTCCAGGACCTCTTCCTTTCCTTTTGTGCAAGGAAAGGCATGCAAGGACTTTGCTAGAGAGTGCAGTGCCACCATCACTGCCCAGCAGCCAGCTCTGAGCTCAACCCCAACAGGCAGCCAAGGAGGCAGAAGAAGAACCCCAAAGGGTCCCCAGGCTCAGGTTATAGCGAGTCTGCTGTGTTAATCAGTTCAATGGACCAGGGAGGTTGCACGTGAGACATCTCTCAGAGTCCCAAGGCACTCAGAACTTTGATCGCTGTGGCTGTTCGTGCCTGAGGTGCTGAATTTTTACATAGAAAAGGAGAACAAAATTACCTACCAAAATTTCAGCACAAATCTGACTTCAGATTTGCCTGAAGTCAGCTGTTGAATAGTACCCTGATAACTGGGCAACACATCACTGAGGCTGTCTTCAGGTTCAGAACAAAGGGAGGAAAATAAAGAGCTTTTACAGCCAATCCTATTCCTTTTATTTGACATATTTAGCTGAGTGCTTCTCTATGAAACCATCCACAGCGAAGCCATCCTGCTTCACAATCTGCCTGTAATGCATTTCTAAGAAAAGAGACAGAGACAGTGTCCTGCCTTTGGGGTTAATCTTTGCCAGGGAGGGAAGAAGACAGCAGGGCTCTCCGGGCTTCCAGCCTCTCCAAGTCCCCCCTCCAAGAAGCTACAAGGATGTAAATCTGTATAAGTCGTAGAATCTCATGCATTTTTAATGGTGATTAGCTGTGGGAAAGAAGCTACAGAGAAAGCGGGCAGATTTACTGTCTCTTTTAGCTTATAATCACATCTAGATGTTTTTTGTGGGTGCCTGGTTTTAGACTAAACCATGTAATTGATCTCATGCAAGGGTAACCTCCTGAAATACAAGGGCTTGTGTCACAGGACTGATCAAATGAATGTACCTCGAGAGCCCCTCCTGCCCTTGAAACATCAGTGAGCTTACTGAGGCTATTCATTAAGAAAAAGCTCCTGGGGAGGAGACGTGCAAGGTATCAAACAGGCATGGAAAGGCACACCTGTGATCAGCAAGAGCCTCAGAAGGAACCTCCTTATCTCACAAACCCTGTCAGGTCCCTGACACGGATAGAAATGCAGCCAAAATGATGTCCAGGTGCTGGGAGCACCGCACACCTGGAACAGCTGGGCCGGGCTGCCTGCCAGCTGGGTCATGGAGCATGTTATCTTTATAATTAAAATTAATTCCCCAAAGTACTTTCTCCTCTTCCCCAGGCACAGCAAACAGCTGGAGGCTGAGATTACAGATGCTGATGCCAATTAGAGCTGTGGCAAAGTCAAGAGCATGGGGAGCATTAGCACAGAGCTCTGCTGCAGAGAGCCCGTGCTCGGAGCTCCTCTGCATTAAGGAACAAGGCAGCATCCAGCTGGAAAAAGCCGTGCCTGACCAAGAGCCCAAGGACAGCCTGGGCAGCCCTGTCCCTGCAGTAATGCACATTGTCCTCCCCCAGGCAGTTGGATAAGGGATGGCTTGGCTTGCTCCCAAAGCATCTCTCATCCCAGTCCCATGGGAAACCAGTACATTTGCCAGCATGCTAGGTGAGACGTGCCATCACCCCCCTTCTGCCAGCTCTTAGCAAAACGTTCAAAGGATTTTGTTTTTCCAGTGTGTGTCAAGTACCTAATACTTTATTCCTGAAGAACTGGATTTTGTGGCAGGTTTCACCCAAGGGTTTGGCTCAAAGCAGGCACGGCTTTGATCCAAATAGCTGAGGTCTGCTCTAGCAAAGCCCAAATCTCCTAACACAAAGGTTTTGCTGTCCTGCCCCACAGGTACTGCTGTCAATTTCAGAGATAACTAGCATGTCCAGCATCTTCCAGACTTCAGAGCAAATGGGCACACTTTCAGGAATGTGATATGTCAGTGATTTCCTCTCATCCCCCATACTTAATTTTGTTTTTAAGCAGGTGCCAACCCAGAAGAATGATACACCAAAGCACAGCACATCTCTGCCATGCCCTTCTGGACTCTGCTGCCCAGAACAAAGCAGAAAGGCATAAGCAATCCAAAGGAATCCCAAAGCATCTTAGGAGCTGAGTGCAATATAGACAGATAGACAGACAGAGCCATGCACATCCCTCACATCCCTAGAGGATGATAGGATGGGGGAGATGCTTCTCTCTGCTGAGGACTCCTAAATCCTGGCATCTCCTATGCATGGGGTTATTTGCTCCTTGCTTCATCACTTGCTGCTCCGGAGGGATGTGTAGCCTCAAGGAATGGTTCTCCTTCCTCCTCCCTCTCCAAGGCTGGGACTTGAATGAACCCCAGATATTTGTCATACTGGGCACAGGAAGGTGCATATTCCCTGCTCACAGGGGGATCCTTTAGGGTTTGCTGTAGACCATTTGCACACACAAGAGAAACAGGGATGCCAACAAAACAGAGAGGGAACATGGCTTTCCCCTTTGTTTTATGCATTGCTTTAAGCACAAACCTCCAAAAGGGACCACAAACGTTTCTCAGGCTTCTGTATGAGGGGCAACAAGGAATTGCTGACTACTCTGCTCAGGATCTGGGACTAACTGAGTCCACCCTGGGATGTGGGAGCTGAGTAGGTGTTTTTCTGAGGTCCCACTTAGCCATGTATTCTAACTGTCCTCCTCTCTCCATTTCTTCAGACCACCTACAGCTGCCCCCACCATATTCCTCTCCTGTCTGTTGCAGCGAAAATTGCAGATCAGGTGGCAAAGATTAAAACCACTCCTGAAACCATCCTGTGCAAGAAAGGAGTATGTGGAAGGCTAAATCCAACAGTCAATCCCCTTATTCCAATTAGGTTCCTTTCTCTTTCAGATTTGAGGGCGGAGAAAACACCTCCCATCTTCTCTCTGTAGATAGCAGCGTTGTGGCCAGGCCCTGGGTGCTGGGGAGGGCTCACCTGAAAGCATGAAAAAGAAAATCTTTATGACACACATGGGCTCACACACGTACATGTTAAGAAAAAAGAAAGAATGGGGGAGGTAGAAGTTCCTGAACACCCCGTAAGCTGATTAAAGGGTATTTTACTTTTACGTAGGAGGGATTTAGCCGCACAGTTCCGTGTACCATCTGACCTCGATAAATTCCCATGCCATCCATGGGTGTTCTGCTGGTTGCTGTGGGCTTCCCTTTGACAGCTTCATCAGTGCTTGTGATGGCACTGCTGGACCTGTGTAATGGATAAAATGGTCTCTTGCAACCTTCTCAGCCCATTTGGGCCCCTGTGCACTCAGCCATCTCAGGGTGACCAATCTCAAAGAGCAGCACAAAGACTGCAGGGCAAGGAAGGTCTATCCATGAAGAGCAGTCCCAGAAGATCCTGAGTTGCTGCTGTAACACAACCTGGGTACGGACAGTGGACAAACTGGCAATGGATGCTACCTTGTAAGGGCTGCCCTGGATAAGCAGACACCCCAAAGGCTGGACAGGCTTTCCCAGCCCACAGCAGGAGTTACAACACCCACACAACACACTAGAAGCATTTACCTGGCTTGCTCTTACAACTTTTTGGAGATGTGTTTTGGCGGACAGTAGAGTTATAAGCTGATGCATGTCACACTGCAGGCTTGTTATCCTTTCTGTCTCAGCAGGGTGACTGCAGCTGACAGCACGGCTGCTGTGAATAGCCCTTGCACCCGTGGCAATTGGATTTCCTTAATGCAGCTCATCACGGGTCTCTCCATGCTGTTTTAATCAGTGCCAAGCCTGAGCAGCGCTAGGCTTGGCCACACTCCTTTCTACCCCATCACCTTTTCACTCTCTGCCACTGCCACAAGGCAAACCCCATTCTTTGTTGCTAAGCAGATAAACTGGGTTCCTTCAGTTCTTGTTCTTCTGGTCTCCTCTCTTTTCTTCCTCCTTGCTCTTTTCCTATCTTGCCTGGCAACTGCAGGAGCTCCAGCTGATCCCATCACCACTGATACCACTTCCAAACATCTTCATACAGTATAAATAAAGAGAGAACAGTTGTAGTCCTATCTTTTTCCCTCCATTTCTATGTCACTGGTAGCAGTAGTGTTTGAGAGCTTCAAAACCCAGCAAAGGCAGGGAGTATTTCCAGGGTGTTTCTATGCATGCATCAGTATTTTCCCTCCTTTGAAACTGTAGTACAATCTGCTCTTGCCAGACCTGTAGCAGTTGTGCTTGTGAAACCACAGCTTAAAAAACACTGTCTTCTCCTACAAGAGCCCCACCATTCCCCTGATTGGAGAGCGTTTGCCTGAGAAAACACTACTTGTTGTTCAGCCAGATCATACTCACTGAATTGTCCTGTTAATTGCAAACAAAACCCATGCCAGAATTTAAAAAGGAAGAAAGAACAGAAGATGAAGCTCCTATCAAGAAGTAATTAAAGCCAGGAGGGGAGATAATGATGCCAATCATAATGAATCAATTGGTACAGGGGTGTTTGCCCAACAAATTACCGTGATTATGCACACAAACAGGAGCATCAGCAGAAATGCAGCCCACTGAACTGCTGTGAATGACCTGATGGGTTTCGAGAGTAATTAAAAGGACATTTCAGCCCGGATACATTATTTGCTATTAACCACAATTGCTCATATTCATATCTTTACCCAAATAATTGCTTTTGATAAGGGCTGTAGATTTATAGGGGGCTGCGGAGAGAAGCGGGCCAGTGGCACATTGTGAGTTGGCTGAGAATCCAGAGCGAGCGCTTTGTGGTAAGTACTGCTGTGCTGCTGCGGTCAGGCTGGGTGGGCTGCATCCTCCCTGCTCTCCAGGCTTGGGTGGTGGATTGCAGAGCCACTGCCATGAGGACATCCATCTCCCGAGCAGTCGTGCTGATAAGAGATGGGGCTTTGTTCCTCTGGAGCAGATAGAGGAAAGAACAGAGACCAGACAGCAGCTGGAGCAGAGATACGTGGTCTTTAGTTTTAGGTTGACTGGGCTGATGGGCACTTTCAGCCAAAAGCACTTGCAAGCGAAGGAGTTTGCATTCATTGAATGCTAGCATCACTGAGGAGGGCAATAAAAGCTTGGAAGTGTATGATGGAAGCTAAGAAACTGAAAATCTACCTCCTCCCTAGGTCTGGCTGATCAAAACAATTCAACAACAATGCGATACAAAGTGATTATTACTGACACAGAGGAGAAGTTCTGCAATAGCTGTCGCTGTCGTATTTGAAACGTCCTATCTATTTTTTTAATTTTTTATTTTTTATTTTTTATTTCATCCCCTTTGAAGCCAAATCAGGCAGGAAAAACAAAACCAGAAGCATCAAAAGTGTGTGAGATGGAGCTCACAGATCTCTATCCATGAACTTTTTCTGCTCTCTGCTCTGCAACTCGCATTCAATAGTTGTGCCATAGCTTGCTGCAAACAAACGTCTGTATAAATCCCCTCTTTTGTCTTTTCTCTTCTTGCCCCATCTCATCCTGCAGCATCTCTAGAGTTGAAAATTACTCAGGGGTGTGGGTAGAAAGAAAGTGGTACAGGAAACCAGTATTCCTTTAATGCTCTTTGTACTGTTGAGTTTCAGGCTGGAATAAAACCAGATTGGAAGAGTTTTGACATTAGGTTAGCAAGGAGTGTCTGAGAATTTCTCAGAGTGCAGCCAAGAAAGCAAAGCCCACTCCTTTCAGGAGAAAGAAGAGTATTTCAAATTAAAGACATAGCTTCTAGTATCCGCTGGGGAAATGTGAGCATCTTCTTACAAAGGCACATACGCATCTCTGCAGTCACAGAGCCAAGAGAAGAGATTGGAAGTAAAAGGAAAGAAAATGCAATGGCTTGTGATGAACAAAAGGCAATTTTCTTCTTATTTCAGTAAGAAAACAAAATACAAGCTGCCGTTGTTACTGAAAACGTGTGTTTTTTCTTTTTTCCCTCTTGAAAGATTAGAGACGGATATCAGCACAAGTGCGGGGCTTTTCCTTCCCTTATGAGTAGGTGAGTTCTTTGTTACAGACCAATTTTTTTTTTTGCCTGATAATTTAGAAGTGGAGAAAAATAGATTTCTCCTGGGCATCCTCGAGGTATATTGCTAACTGTCAGTGTGAGAAGTTTTCATAGGTGTTTGAAATCCTCTCCCTGCAGACTCAGTTCTCAAGGCACTTATGATAGAGTTTATTTCACATGGTGGTATCACCAATGAATTATCTCACGTTAACTCATTCTCCCTGTGTATTCAAGGCGTGTTATACCGAGTCCCAGCACAAACATCATCTATGACAGGCACCCTTGGGTCCAAGCTCCAAAATGGCATGCTGGTCATGGTGGTAGAGTGGCAGCTACGACTTCCTGGCACCATGAATGACTTGAATTGTTCATCTTTCATATTTTAAAGATACGCCGTCTTTTCTGGCAGGAATTCCTGACTAATTCAGTCACAGTTATGTTATTTATGTAGCCATGTCTTCTCTGTGGCAAATGATCTCTACGAAAGATTCAGATCATTTGTTCCACCCACCATACAACTCTGTGCTTTAATTCAGGAGCCAACATGGTTTCCTTGATGACTGGTCTGAGTCGGCTAATTATTCCCATGATCGTCCTGTCGCACTTCTCAGCATCTCTTCCATCCCGAGAGAGGTAAGCGTTCCTTGTGCCTCTGCTTCCTTTTTCTCTGTGTCTTTTTGTTGGAAGAGCCTGCCAGCCATAATGCCAACTTTTTGTCTTCCTTCCAGAAGCTGCAGCTGCTTGGTTGTTGTTCTATTTTTCTTCCCCAGATGGATTTAGTTCAATGAATGTAAACATTGTAAACATTGTTTTTCTTGCTTAAGTGTGGAAGCATTGATTGGACTTCACTGAGAACTAAAATCATGACCCCAAACAGATCAAACTACATTAAAAAAGACACTCCTGAATCTGTTTTCCTGCTAAGTACTTGGTAAAAGGAGAATTCTCTCTTCTAAATAGTTTAAATATAGCAGTTAAGATATGTGGTATGACTACCATCACCTACCTTGTCCTCAGGGTTTGTGTGTCTGGATGCTCTTTTTCTTCATCCTCCACTCTCTTGTCCCACACTTTTGTGCTCAGTTAAGTGTTAACCAGACATCCTCAAACCCCCATATTCTTGATAAGCTGATGATATCAGCAAGAAACAAGAGCATGGTTTTGCTGTGTGATGGTTAGGAGAGAGATTTCTTTTAAATTCTTAAGATAAGTATTTTTTCTTTTGGTGAAACTGCCAAATCAGCACAAATTCTTACCCATCTTTGCCCGGGACGCTCTTTTCTTGAGAGAGCAATTCTTCCCCAGTTTTAAAACCATGTCTTTCATTCTCTTCTCATCTCTAGGACTGAGAGACATGCTGACGGGCTTTTCCACAGTGAGCTCAGCAAGATGAATGACAACGCTTACGTGCAGCAGCTAGTGAAACACCTGGTGGGACTCAAGGAGAGGTAGGGAGAAGCTGAATCCAATCTCCTGGCGCAGGGAGAGTGGGAGATGAGATTCCAGCAATGAATGAGAAGTCCATAGGGCTGAGCTTCTTCCAATACCAATGCCAGTCTCAGTGCTGGCCTCATCCAGTGGATGCAGAAGATGGGAGGAGACAGAAGGGAGGGATACGGGTCTCCCAAACAGTGTGAGAAATTTCCGAGTGCTGAGATAAGTTGTATGGCTGGGAGTCGCAGTCATTCTGTTGTTTTTTCTTGCTGCAGAACTCAGAGGCACTCAGATGGATTGTTCACCAGTGAATACAGCAAGATGAGGGGAAACGCTCAGGTTCAGAAATTTATTCAAAATCTCATGGGCCGCAAGCGCAGGTGAGAGCTCTTCTTTCTCCTGCTTCATGGTGGGTCAACCTGCCTTCCAGAGAGCAGAGCTGCTTCTCAGCTGTGGTGGTTACCCTTCTTTACTATTACTGCTCTTATGATTCTTTATTTAAAGCAGCAATCCGGGCCTGGTCAAAACAGAAGTGCAGGAGAAGGAGAAAGAAAACAGCAATGAGGACTTTTGTTATATGTGGCTGTACCAGAGCTTTTTGAACAGCAGGTGGGTGTGCTCTGCCAAAAGCTGCGCTCTCAGGGGTGGTTTGCAGAGCTAACAAAGCAAATGTTTTGGTCAAACTGCGAGGTGGCAGGAAGATGTGTGCAATCTCAATTGATTTTTGTCTCCGCATTCGTGGTAATTTCTATTTCTACCTGCTGAGCCTGCCTGGCACTCCGTTGTGCTTTATCTAAAGTAATGTTGACATTAAGATTTACAGCTAAGATGTGCCATATAAAAGCCAGTAATGAAAAAATAATAAAACCCAGGGAAATGAGCTAAGATCCTTTTCTAATGGTAGAGTTGTTGTTCTGGACTAAGCTGATGGCACAGCTCATCAGAAGACCCAATCCATTCAGGATTCAGGAAATGATTCAAGCACACCCTTCAGGATGTTGTACCCCAACATCTGGACATTGTGTCTTCCCAGTGGACAATTGTTTTCAACTAGACATCTCAGTATAAAACCACTAAAAATAGGAGGAATAAGCCAGCTCTCCACATTGCCTAGAATCATGAGGGATGGTCACAAGGCTGGAGCAGCTCTCTTATGAAGAAAAGCTGAGAGAGCTTGGGTTGTTCAGGCTGGAGAAGAGAATGCTCAGGGGAGAACTTACTGTGGCTTTTCAGTACTTAAAGGGGGATTATAAGATGGGGAAAGAAATTTTATAAGGGTTTGTAGTGCCAAGAAAAGGGGCAAGGGCTTTAAATAAAAGAGGGTAGATTTAGATAGGATGTAAGGATGAAACGCTTCGCTATGTGGTGGCAAGGCACAAACTGTCCAGGGAAGCTATGGGTGCCCCAGCTGAATGGGGCTTTGGACAAACTGGTCTGGAGGAAAGTGTACCTGCCCACAGGAAGGGTTGCACTGGATTGTCTATAAATGCCCTTTCTACACCAAACCATCCTGGGATTCTGGGGTTCTGTGATACTGTGGTGAGGTCAATAACCTTGTCTGTACATCTGTGAGGCGTTTGACATCAGGTAGCAGCAATCCAGGCTCCCCCTTTCACACATCTCCTCCTTATTATCACCTCTGAATTTTGTTGGGTGCCCTTTTCCCTTTTCCTGCGGTCCTTTCCCACAGAAATAACAAACTACTGTTCATTTTCACCCTCCCCACAGCCACTCAGACAGCGATGCCAAGGAAGCTGCTGAAGTTACCAGCCAGTACATTTGCCCCCTCTGCAGCTGGTGACAGATGTGAAGGAAGAGAGATGTTTTTGACTGAAGGTGAAAGGAAAACCAATGTTCTGTCAGAAACAACCGAGGAGATGATTTTGCATGCAAACAACCTTGAAAATAAAGAGAAAAGTCATTGGATTTTGCTTTGGAAAAACTCTTGAGATCAGCAAATAAAATAAAATAAAATTCTGGAAAGCAGCCAAAAAAAAAAAAAAAAAAAAAGACAACCAACAACAATAAAACCTCTTAGATAATCAAGATTAAAACGCATGTTGGTGTGAACTGGTGTCAATAGGTGGAGCTTGTGCAAAGCACATCACTTCTACTGCGTTAGCATCTGACTGTCTAATTCCAAAGTCCAACAAAGATATGTTAGCTATGCTTGGGCTATAATTTGGGAAACATAGTGAAGGTGTTACCTTTACTAGGTGTTGGGCCATTAGGAATGCAAGGCAGGGGCAAGAAATGCTTAGCTATGCTTCCCCTGCCTACAGACAGAGGCACGCTGGAATAGCTAATGGCTCTGGCCACATCTGCTCAGGCTGAGGCTCAGCACTGCCCACAGCTCAGCTGTACAAAGAAGCCAGCAACAGAGCTGGCTCCATTTAGCAGAAACTTAGCCAGGTGCTAGATGTTATTAGAAAGAAATGTAATGAGAACTACACAATAGGGATACACATAGATGGTTTTCGCTCCATTCTGCCCTCATACATACTGCCCAGTCTTCTCAAAGCCACCGAAGACAAAGCTCTGCTGGAAGGAATTTGTTCCCATCATTTCAACATAAATATGTCTTATGTTTTTTTTGTCCATACAACAAGTGGCCAAATGCCTTGCCACATGGCGTTAGGCTTGGAAAAATGTACATAGGCTCAGAAAGAGGCAGGACAAGAGCGTATAATAGCACACGACTGAGGCTTCAGGAAACTGCTGAGGTGTAAACTGTTGGAGCCTGGATGGAAATTCAGGGCAGCATCCGTATAAAAAGCTGCTGCTGGCCACTGGTGGAAGGGGACCTGTCTTGTCCCTGCTGAGCTGCTGTGCAATCACAGAGCTGCATCTGGGTCTGATCACTGTTTTTGGATCCACTCCGCTCACCTCATCTGGGTATCCTAGGTGACTAAAATAAGAAGACTGTCTCAGAAACATGGCTGATTATCTCAGCCTAGGGACCTACATATGGACTAGCTTTCTTTGCCATTGAAACAGAAGGGCAGCCAAGATGGCTTTTACTTCACTTAAACCATAAACTTTTTCAGAAAGGAATGAATATGCCTCATTTTGCCCTACCTCTGCCCCGAATGTGAGATCTTCTGTCAGTAGGTGCTTTTAATATTGGATACTTTTAATATTGGGGGTTGGACTCGATGATCTCTGGAGGTCCCTTCCAACCCCTACAATTCTGTGATTCAATTCTGTGATACACACAGTATCCAGCACACCATTTCCCACTTTCTATCTGATGAACACCAGGACCTCTACTCTCTCAGATTCTTTCTCAGAAAATGGTAGACTCCAGGTATGAGGAAAGCCATTCCTCCTGCAAGGCTGCAGTGCACATCATCACAGGAGGAAGCACTGACCATGCGCGTGCCAGCAGCTGGGAACACAAACAAAACAATTAGGAAAGAAACAGCCTGTAGATAAACCAGACTGGCATTAATTATCTTCCTCTGAGAAAAGACTAACTGTAAAGAAATGAGACTTTGCCTTGAAGAGAGAGATGAAGGCACAGTAATGTCATGTGGGTGGCAACAAAGGCTCCCTTCCCCACAGCACTATCTGGCCATGCTCCGTGCAGTGACTTAAAACAGAAAGATGATGGTAATTTCTCTCCATTGAGATATAGGAAATTAAGGTTAAACAGTTTGGCCAAAGTCCAGCTTACGTAAACGATGGTGTAACAAGACAGTAAACCACAGCCTGGTGTCCTCTGCATGGCACCATGCTTATCTTCCAACCTTCTTTTTGCCTTCACAATAAAATCAGACTCTGAGCAAGTGATGGGAGGCCCTCTAAGCACTAATTTACTTAAATCACTACAACCATTCTCTAAAAGGAATAACTGCAGTTCTGGGCAAAATTAAGGAGCATTCACCTGTGTCCCACAAGGCCTTGACACCGTGCTTGAAAAGGAGAAATGGACAGGACAAGCTCCCCAGGGCTAAATATCCTCAAACATTTCAGCTTGTAGTTCTGAGAGAGGAAGAGATAAAACCTCATGGATACAACTGAACCAAGACAGAGAATAAGCAGGAAAACCCACCCTGTAAAAATGCTTCGAATATTCCCTCATTGCTAAAGAAATTTGAAGGGAGAAAAGCCCCAGAAACAAAGTAGAAACCGGAATTCATGCGTCATCATGTTCCGTGACCAGCAAATGTCTTAAAAGTCATCCAATGAGATGACGAGGCAAAGGTTGAAGTGCAGCAATGCTCTCTGTCAGCCAATGTTTTTCTGTCTTCCTGAAGCAGTGAATGCGGAAAGTACTGCGAAAAAGGGAGAGAAGAGGATCAGCTTGATTAGAAACAGGGATTTCTTCGACATTGCAGTTCACCATGGGTGTTTCTCTCTTGCTCCTGGCTTCTGTGCTCTTTCTGCCGCTCTCTGTAACAGCACAAGGTAAGTTGTTGGAGGTCTGTGACCACAGAAGAATAATTCCTATGGCAGCAGGCTGCTCCACTGCAGCCAGCAAATGAGTTTTAGAGTCTTACTCTAGAACGACTCTGTTCAAGGACTTTCTCTCCAAAGGTAACCAGAGGGATCTGAGTTCTTACCTAATTCTAACACAACATGAATTCCAGGCAATTTTGTAATTTGTTTGTGTGGTGTTTTGTTTTTTTTTCCTCCAGGATGTTCTGTCTCCAATAGAAATCCAAGCGTTCCTGAAAATAACAATCCTGGATATGTTGTGACCACTATCTCTGTGGAACCAGGTTTCACTGCAATGATCGATCCTAGCTCTCCAGATGGCAATTATTTTATCATCCAGGGGTCTGAGCTGCAGCTGAACAGAAGCGTGGACTATGAGGTAAGCCTTCAGCGGGCGGGCTGTAAGGATGAGGTGGGTAATGCTGGGATGCAGTGGGTTTCAGCCTGAGATCTTGGTCTTCCAGGAATTTGTAGCCCAAGTCTAAAGCATAAATGTAATACCTTTGAAAAATAAACCTATTTCAGATGGAAGATCAGCCCTTAAACAGGCACAGGATGTGGATGAGGGGTGGTTGCATGATATACTTGCTGTAACTTTCTTTTAATAAAAGCAAGCAGAAGGTTTTAAACCAGAAGGGTGACAACAACAGTGTTCAGAGCTCCACAGGACTCATGTGAAAGGATCCCTATTTGCCTGTCTTGAAATACAGTTCTGAGCAGTGAGGTGATGTGCATAAAGGCAGCGTAAAAGGTCAGTGTGTTTAGTTAGGATGCTGCTAAACTATTCTACCTCCCTGCAGAGTTCTGAATGCAGCCACAAGTGTCCTTAAGATGCCTTTCCAACAAAGTAAAAACCCACATTTGAGTAAAGAATAGCAGGCAAAGGTAACACCCTGCAGGCGATGCTGTACTTGCTGCGTGGCACATTTCTGTTTCATTCAATTTAAAAAGAAATCTCTGTTTGAACTTACCTAAAGTAGGAGAAAATAGTTAATTAGCTCTTCTCCCATGCTACAGGGATCACAAAGAAGCTCTTGATCAGTCAGCTTTGCTCCAGTATAAAAAGGAGCCCAGTGTTGATGAACAGCTGTAAAAGAAAGAAGGGAATAGGTAGACGTGTCTGAAAACAAGATAAAGCCCAGCAGCATTTCTGATTCAGAAAGAGTTGGTATATTTCTAAAATGGGTGGGTTTTTGTTTTTGCATGCAGACTGACACTGTGCTGTTAGTGACCCTGACTTGTGAGAAAAGTGCTGTGGAGGTGAGTACTCTTCCAAACACTCAGTTCTGTTATAAGGCAGCGCGGGGAAGATGCGCATCCCTCATCTCGTCCTAGTGGCTCTGTGAATGGCAGGGATGGAAACAAATTGCAAACCCCCACATAGTGGGTTGTCTGTAAATTGTAGAATCGTAGAATCACCAAGGTTGGAAAAGGCCTACAAGGTCATCCAGCCCTCAACACAGTGTCCAAATGTTCCTTGAACACAGCCCCATCCAGCACCCACCCAAGTGTGCTCCTTACAACATCCCCTCTACCACTTGGTAATCTGTTAGCAACCCCTAAATCTCTTTTTTCTCTCTGATTCTCTCGCTTTACTCCATCTGCAGAGTTACAGCCTGTCAATTATTGTGACCATTATCAACCTGAATGATAACAGCCCAGTGTTTAAGGAAACCAGCCTCACCAGAGTTATACCTGAGGTAAGGATTTCACAGAAGTGTGTTACCAAGTGCTGTGGGACTAAGGGATTTCTACCAGGGAGATGTCTTCAGCCAATTTCACAGAGAGAATAACCACAACAACTTTGTTTCAGGACACAAAAGTGAATGCAACCATTGTAGCCCGTGAAGATGTAAGTGCTAGTGATGCTGACTTGGATATAATCTACTATAAACTCGATTCGACAGTGCAGGTAAGCATCTTTCTTCTCTGGGGGAAAAAAGTGTAGCTCAGAAAAGGTCCTTGTGTTTGATTCAGATGAGCCCCAGCTCTGAGACTAGAGGATTGCTGTATGGCATCTGGTTCTCCAGCATCTTCTCGGAGAGTTATGCCTTCTGCAAGAACCAAGTGTTGGTCTGGTTAGCAGAACACTGCAATTGATATTCCTGATACTGAAATTTTCTTGTGTTTATGGTTTTATCACACAGTACAGCTCCAACTTTCATCTAGGATATTTTGAGTCATAGGATTCAGGGAAGTCACGATGGGATGGTCTGTAAACAGATCAGGAGAGATCTTTGAACTTCACAGAGCTCAGAAATGCAGTGAGTCAGAGAGAGAAAGTTGTTGTTATCCTGCTTGTCTACAGAGCCAATGCGAAGTGGAGATAGCATGATCTGCCCAAGATTTCAGAAGTTTTTATCAAAGACCAGGCAGACTTCATTTTCTTCTTGGTGTAAACCCAGAGGCAGCATTTTTAACCTATCTTTGACCATGACTGCTAGTAGAGCTTTTCCATTTCTTCCCCCCACAGAACACCAGCGATTATTTTGCCATAAAAGGAGTCAATAACCCTGAAATCTATTTACAAAAAGCGTTGAATTATGACAAATTTAACTTCACAACATTGCTCTTGTATGCAATGGTAAGTTATTTTGGAGCAACTAGAGGGTAAGTCTGAATGAGAGGTCTCTGGGATGGCAGGAGGGAGGGTGGATAGTGAGGGAAGTGGGTTTGGAGCAGCCTTCCACCTCCATAATCACACAGTGATTGCAGGGATGCAACCAGACCTGCATTCAGCCCACCTTTATCAGCAGAATGTCAGCAGATGATTCATTCTTTGAGCTAATTTCATGAGCTCATACACCTCATACAGAATGGAGTTAGAACAGCTAAGGGACCTTGGGCCACTGGTTTTTCAGGTGGGATCTTCTGGCAATAAAACTTGCATCTTATAAATATGATTTGCTTTTGGGTACAGGACAATATTGAGGGCATGAACGTAACCATTCATACAGCTACTGCAACAATAAACATAGTTATTGAGCAAGCTGACACCAGACCTCCCTGGTTCCTACCCTGCACCTTCATTGACGCAGACAGAAGCATTTGCATCAGCAGCACCTATACTGGGAGAGTCAATATGTCCGAGATGTCGGTAAGAAGGCATGATAAAATGGTATCTCTCATGCTATTAGCACCTAATCATTGTCATCAGCTTGTGCTGGTCCCAGGCATAAATGCAGTCTCCATCACCTTGGGAAGTGAAAGTTCTCCCCCCCCACCCCCTCTAGCAATTAATCTGATTCTGCTCTGGTAAAACCAGCAGAGCCATGCTGAGATGGAAGAGCACTGGAAAGCATTTGGTGTTGTAGCATATTATGTAATACTTTGCCTTTCCATTGCAGACTGAACCACTCACCTTGGAGCCAGGGCCCATCTATGCTATCGATCCTGACTACATTTTAAATGAAAAAATTGTGTACAGTATTGTTGGTGGTGAGTGGAATTTGTCACCTTCTGCAAACTGCATCACTCCTATATCTCCTACATCAGTTGCCAAGAGGACATATCCTTGGCAGCACATGAGAGTTAAGGGCCTGGAGATTTACCCCTCTGTTTCTGCCACAGAAAAACAATTAGATGCACAGAACATTGTGGATTAAGTAGAAGAAACAGACTGTACAGAGAGGAAGATGAAGAGAACTGCAGGCCCATAAAACAAGCTCCACAAAATCTGTTTCAGAAGGACTTCCTCTCACTTCTGGGTAGAGAGCTATGTTTCATTTTTAAGCTTCTAGACCTGACTTTGCCAGTCTGGTCACACCACTCTCATACAGTCTTTGAGCTGAACCTAAAAACTTCCACATCCTCAGCATAATTTTCATTCATCATTTCATGCTCTTATTCCTCTGTTCATTACCACAGTCTAATCTGCCTTGTTTTATTCTTGATTTTAAAAAGGTTACTTGAATATGGTGAAATGATTGCCCAATCACTGGCTGGGCCACTTGGCCATCTATTACATTCAAAAGACTGTTTTTATTATTATTATTTTTTTAGTGATAGTGGTTTCTAGATTAACCATCAAGGCAAAGGCAGATCATAATGGTCGGGTGGAGTGATCACTTTTATTTATTCCACATGGTCCCACATCTGTGACTATCCTTCTGATAGGCATCCTTCTGATAGGCATCATTGAACCTCAGATTACATTCTGGATGTAGTGTGGCCTCAGCTCCCCACAGTCAGTGGGAACCCAATAAGGGAGTTCTTGTCTAAACACAGCCTATAGCATCTAAGGGTAAGGAAGACAAGCAAAAATTATACTTATATCTTAATCTACATGCAGCACAGATGGTTTTATGATTCAGACACAGAGCAGTGATATAGGAGGTTGATTTCTACCTCTACATCAGTGCAAGAAGGCTTCTGTGTCTAGGCTCCTTTTGTAGTCAGCAGAGAAAAAAAAGTGTTTCCAGACAAGAATGCAACTCATAATGAGGACTATGTCCACAGTAAGTCAGATAGGTAACAAGGCTGAGTAGAGATGCCTGCCCACTAGATGCCAGAGCTATTCCAGGTGAAACCTCACTCAACTGCTCTCTGTAGCTTAGTTCTTGGCTGTCACCAAGAGGAACTGTGAGCTCCACATCACTTTATGAAAGTATCCCATGTTTGAATGGTCTTTCTGTTTCTTTAGGGAATGCAGATAATGTATTCTCAGTGGATGCAGACACGGGAAATCTAACTATGAACAAAGTAGCAGCTTCTCCAAATTCATATCTATTACAGGTGATGGTAAGTCCGATGACATTGCAGCAGAAATCCAGTATAGCTGGCTTCGTAGGAAGCAGAGATCTTGTCGTGTCAGGAATTGATCACATTAATAATGAAAGCTAACTTTGTCATGTCCTTTTTTTTCTTTTTTCTTTTTTTGAAAGCCTTTAGACCTAATAGTTGATCAGTATCTTATATCAGTTTTCATGTAAATCTTTTGCAGCAGTCAAGGCCTTTTCTCTTATGATTGTGTTATATTATTAAAGCAAGTTAACTGAGTGAGGACATCCTGCTGAGTTCAAAGCATGGATGAGTAGAAAGCTTTCTGTAGGCAGGACTGGAGCTTGTGTCACAACAGTTAATGTCATTCACTCTTAGAAACAAGTTCCTCCTTTGGTTAAACTCCTCAGGAAAGAAGTTGAAAAGCACTCCTGCACATATATACCCAGGAATTTGTGGACTCTAAGTAACTGAACTGACCAAATCCCTCATTAAGTTGAGCAGACTTTGCCTGCTGGTGCTGGAATCCCAATGCTTTGGAGCATGGTAATTTATCCAAAGTTGACCCTTACAGAGAGCCACATCCAGATGTTAGGACTAGACCAAGCCTGTGTGGATAGCCAACAGCAGAAGCAAGCTTAACTACAAGGACCACAAGCCATAAGGTGGGGAACCTGTGGCTCAAAGTTTATTGAAAATCATGGAAAGAAAGCTTATGGGTTGGAATAGGTTTTGTATCAAGCCTATCCTTTTTATGTCTCATCACTAAAAGGAGTGTCTCTCTCTTTCTCCCCAGGCCACTCAAGTCAACAACAAACAGAAATACTCCATAGCCAATGTAGAAATTCAGGTCATCAATAAAAGTGACCACGCACCATACTTTGAGCCCAGTTTCTATGCAGGGACAGTGTCTGTTGGTCTGGACCCAAGAAGCTTTGTCTTCCAAGCTGGTGATTCTTCAAGGCCCCTGATGATAACAGCACTGGATGATGATTTCCCTGATGTAAGAAATAGAAAATACACTGAATTCTTCATCACTGCTTCAGCCTTAAAGCAGGATAAGCAAACATGGGGAGCGGGAGGTGGGGAAAGACAAACACATTGTTTTCTCTAGCATCCCATTTATTCATCTGTAAATTCTACATAGATTAGTACCATTTGTGGTATGGTCTAATTTGGAGAAGCTGCTGGACTGCTTTCCTCCAAGAACAAGTCCCACTTAGATTTAGGTAGGTGAGCTGATTTACTGCAAAACAAAATGCTAAATAAGCCCAGAATTAGCCAGTTCTGTGAACAGGTTCAAATCTGAGCTTCTCAGAAGAGATCAGAAAGGCAGGGTCCCATACAGGGAGGTTTTCTCTTAGCCAAGTCAAGGGTAGTTACTTATGGACCAGTCCGGGAAGAGGAGACAGCTTGCTAAGACCAAGCTAGCAAGGTCTTACAGTCCTTAGCTGGAAATAGTTAACTTCTCCCTGTAATGACTCATTTTGAAGGAGCCATTCCTAGAAAAAAGTATTAGGGAAGGGGAAGAGATTAACTGACCAACCATTCTCTTCTTCCCTGTTAAACACAGAAAACTGTGATAGTTTTGAGAACTATTATAAATAGCGCAGACCTCAGAAAAAGGATTGTTCTTCATTTACATCCCCCTTTGCATCCCTATTAAAGACTGAACTAACCAATTTTCTCATCTAGGAAAAGAGGCAGTGGCCTCACGTTGCACTAGGGGTGGTTCAGGTTGGATATTTGGAAAAGTTTCTTCTCAGAAACGGTGATGAAGTATTGAAACAAGTTGCCCAGGGAAGTGATGGAGTCACTGTCCCTGGAGATGTCAAAGAACTGTGGAGTGTGGCACTGAGGGACATGGTTTAGTGAGCACAGTGGCAATGCATTAGTAGTTGGACTTGATCTTTTCCTACCTTAATGCTACTATGATTCTATGAAAATTAGAAGATCCCTTGCACAGATGTGTTTTGTTTGTGAAAATATTAATGACACCAACACAAGCTGGTTAAGTATTGGGATGTTTTTTGGACACCAAACTTTCAGGATACATTTTTACCTTTTTATGACAGAATTATTTTCTACTCTATACATCTGCTTATACTTAAGGCATAGTTGACAAGTCCTGCTAACAGAGTATTATAAACATGCACACAAAACACAGTGAGGTTTCATCATTTGCTCTTCTGTTTTTTCAGAAAGTCAACCCAAACATTGAGTACTACATAAGGAACAACACCAATTTCATTGCAACCAAAGATGGACTCATCCTGACTAATGTGATGCTGGACTCACCAGGGACTGCAATCATGGAGGTAAGGCAACTTTCTTTATGACCTTGGCCAGGATTGTGGAAAGAAGGGAGAATAAGAAGAAAGGAGTAACAAGGGTGGAATGTCATTAGACAAAGGATGTAACATAAGGCCAATATTTGCCCCAGCCATTTGTATCACAAATATATAGGGACGGAGGGAAATGAAGTGGTGGTTAATGCACTCTGCATGATACAGGCTGTATCTGGCACTAGCTGTAAAATCTTTTCTTTTATCCTCCCATGGAAGACAAGCTATTTTTTTCCCCACACAGGCAGTCGCAAAAGATACAGTGAGTCTACAGGAGGGGAGCACTGCAGTCACAGTAGAGATCATCGCTGCCAAAGGTAGATTGGGTATCTTTTGTTTTCTGGTTCACTGACCTCAGAGTGAGTTATCCCACCAAGCTGAGCTAGCTTCAGTGCAGGCACAGCACAGAAGGAAGAAGGAGTGTGGTGGAGCTTCACATCAGGTCTGTGGGCTGTGACTCCCTAGGAGACATGATTAAGAATTAAAAATTCATTGACGTCCTAAACCTTCAACGGCTTATTAATGATAAACTGAGAGTGCAATCAAATGCAGAGAGAGTACTCAAAGTCCATTGTCATAAACAGGCCAGTAGGAGGAAAATGCTGTGTTTCATTAATCATTAAACTTTAAAGAGATTAATTTACATTACAAAATGAAGCTGGAGATCTTAAAGAAAGAAACCCAATGACAACTACAAGCAAAGCTGATTAACCCTGAAGAAGTTCTATATCTCCACTGTAATGTGGATATCTCCATACAAATATACTTACGCTGACCAGAGGCTGAAAGCATAAACTACTCCTACAAATTGCTCCTGTTAGAATCACTCTGCTTAGTGAGAGAAATTAAAGGCCTTAAGGATCTCTGTGACTACTTTTCTTCTCTTGGAAAGAAAAGGGACTTTGCCCAGTTCCAAAAGAGCCTGACAGCTCTAGATTAGGGACTGGAATCAGATTTAAGAAGGAAACTGCAAGAAGAAATGTAGCAAAACTTCCTCATGACATGATCTCTTTCTTTCTCATGGCTGTTTGTATCTGCCTTCAGCATAAGAAGGATACACTACTGTACTCCTAGCGGTAAAATACAAAGAAGTCAGACCTGACCTGGCTGTTCATATTGACGTCAGAGTCAGTCGCTCTCCTTCCAAGGAGCACAGTCCTATTCTTTTTCTATATTTTGTTTCTGTATTTATACGCTCATCAGTGCCAAAAGTGAAGTTTCATATTAAAGAAAGCTTTACATTTTCACAGGCACGTGTCCGAATGTATCTTAGTTTTGCTTGCTGGTGGAAATGCATGAAGTGGGAACAAACAGGATCTACCTAGTTCTAATTCTGTTTGCCTAACGCAGTTGTGCACATATTTGCTTATTTAAATTATGGGGTAAACATCATAGACTTGTAAATGGGTGCTTTTTCCATTTCTTACAACTGCACACAAGTTATAATATTCTTATAAAAAACCCTATTCCTCTTGGAGAGCTACTGAATGGCCTTAGATCTCATTAAATATCCCACTGCCACATTCTGCAGCACAAGATGCTTTTGCCCTTCGAAAAGTATTTGGATCTTTCCCCAAAGGGAAGTGTTGTGGTAAAAAAGTTGGCTGACACTGCTAGACCTCATAACACTGTTTGTTTTTTGTTTTTCTTGTAGCTGAAATCTCCTCCTCTGATAAGATATACACTGCACAGGATATGGGTATCTTAGGTGGTATCTTAGCTGCGTTGCTATTAATTGCCTTAGTCTTCCTTGGAGTGATGATATATAAACAATATGGAAAGACAGTCAAGTTCCTGATTAATAAAAAAGTAAGTGCCTTCTTTATACCTGCCTCCTATTTAGAAGTTGTTAGAGACCTGAGGAGGATTTCAAGTATGGATGGGCTTTCCAAATATTACACATTTGTATGAAGGTGATGATCCTTGTGGGTCCCTTCCAACTTAGGGTATTCAGTGATTTTATGCATTGTCTGCACCTGAGCCATTCATCTCTGGCTCCTCAGGTCTTTGGCAGCCTTGTAACTTCTATGCTCAGGGCTCAGGTCGTCAGAATGATGATGATCTCTGCCTTAGGATGAGGAATCCCTCAACTCCCCTGAAAGGAAAACTGACTTGTTTGCAGCTGTAAGGGCATGCCTTGGAAGGAAGGAGTAATAGCATTCCAAATTGTGGGAAATTATCCCTTATGAAAGTTTTTTTTCTCCCAGTGCAGAAAGTGAATATATCTCCACAACTATCAATAGAGTCTTGCTGCTTTATACTGGGCAAAATCCAGCCAAGTCCCTTCAGCCACACTCCCTCAGCCAGTTTCTTTTTCTTTCACTACACTCACAAGGTGTCTCTTCTCCTGTAGTTCTCCAAGGATTTCCCTGGAAGCTACGACAATCAAGCCTACAGGCAAGATGAACATCCAGATCTGAGTACCAACAAGCAGGAAAGCACAGAATATATCAATGTAACCGAGATACAGCAGCCATCACTTTTCTTGACACCTTCTAGTGAACAAGAAATTCATGAACTTCCACAGACTTCCCCAGCTTCCACCATTGTTTCTGACCAGAAAGTGGAAGAAGAAGAGGAAGAAGAAGAGGAAAAGGTGGAAGAAGACACTAAGAATGAAAAGGAAGTGAAATCTATCCTCAAAACAGACAGGAATGAGGGAGACCCAGGATACAAAGCTGTGTGGTTTAAGACCGATGTGGATCCAAGTGGAGAGAATGTTGAAGTGATTGATGACAATGCAGCAAATTATGATGATGACAGTGATCAAGATCTGCAGGAGAATGAGGAGGAGGAAGAAGATTACAAGGACGACCATCACAGAGATTCGGGAATGTTCCTTGCCTCAGACAACTCATCATTCCAAGCTGCAGAAGTGTCAGTCAACATGTCTACCAGAGATGACAGTGGTGCATAATGGAACTAGGTCTGCAACTATCCCCTCACCAAAATGGAGAAATGTCCATTGCTTGGGTGAGACAGAGCCCACCTTTCTGCTCAGGGCAAAACTGAAATGCAGGAGGACAAAGCTGATTGTCCTGCATGCAGATATTAAATCCAGAAGAGATTATAACTAATTCAAACTTCTAGTAAGACCTTGAAATATGGCTTGGGATTTTATGTGGGGAAAACACATCCCATCCTTCTTCCTATTTGTCCTAGGGTCCCCTACATCACATTTCCCAAGTTGGTAAATATATGGGGGATGTAGCTGAACTGACTTTGAAGAATTTATCTCAGCTCATGGTAGCAATGTAGTTGTATGATCCAGTGCTTTCATCTCCTCTGGTGGGTAAATGAGCCAGCATTGACTGCTTGGCTATTCCCTTTAGGTGTTGCGTGTTGACGTCGGCTGCAAGGCGTTAGCCAATGCAAGTCACTCTGACACTCTGACCCAGCTGTTGCTCCATGACTACATTCAGGAGCTTACTTCAGCACTTGGCTCTGCTCTCTGCACCCCAGGAGCAGCTAGCATGACACACTGAGGACAGCAGGAGCGCCACTGTAGGTCTCCCTCCTGCCAGAAAATGAACGTTCAGATGATTGAGAGATGCTGTTTCCTCTGCTGCTGATAACCAAGGACTGATAACATGTTCTTTACTGAAAGAATCTGTCGGATATTATTCTTTGTCACAAACCATTAACTGTGCTGTCCTTCCTTGGCTGTATCCTATGTGTCAAGGCAAAGAGCTCCTGCCATAACCTGCTTACAGAATGTCAGGTCTATTTCCAACTCTCTGGACTTCTGGCAGCAAAAGATGTCATTCTAAAGTGCTAGATGTGGATCAGCACATTGTTTCCCCTGTCCAACAGGACTCAAGGTGTTCCTTTTATCATTGCTGCTGAAAGCGGAGGTCAGCAGTCCTCCACACGCCTCACTTGGTGTAGATGAAAACCTCTTTGCATCCCCATTTTTTTCCATTCACAATGGGCCCAGCAGGCTCTTTGGATGATAAAATACTATCTTTCAGGCTTTACCTAGAGCCAAGCTGCAGCCCAAAAGCAGAGGTGGTCCACTGAGAACACAGAAAGAAACAACAATAAATAATCCTGCCTGTGACCTATGGGCTATTCTCCGCAACACTGTCATTACTCCAGATAAACCCGTGAGAGGGAAACCAAAACACAACTGCTGGGATTCTTGTCTATCCCAAAACATAAGACAATCAGTTCTCAGCAAGGCTTTCATCCTCTTGGTTTCCACTCTTTTTTTTTTTTTTCTGTACACTTCCCCATCTTGCTGTTGCTAGTGCTCAGCTCTGCCAGGGTTTCTCTGAAGAGAGAAGCCCTGCTATGTGGACTTCAGGAACTCTACTTTCGCTGAAGGTAGAGACTGAAATATGGAAAGGCTTTCTCCTTAACTGCAATAAAGTTATTTGCCCAGAAATTACTACTGTGGTTTGTCTGATAACAGAGGGTGGGGAGAGTGCCTTATATTTACCTTGTAAGCATAGTTCTCTGGTAGCTTAAGGTTACCTCCAGCAAATAGTTTCCATGGGGCTGTGAGAATTCCCCAGTAATTGCTAATTGCTAGCCCAACACATCCGGCCATCACCAAGAATGAGGGTAGAGCTAAGCCTGTCCTCAAGGCCGTAGCTACCCATGGAAAGATTGCTAATAGGTGGGTGAAACCAGAGTGTTTCTGCTGTGACTCCCTCCAGGCCTTTGCTTTTGTCACTTAATCTGTCTCAGGGTCCAAAAACGAACCACCAGCTTACAGGGCCCCAAGAACTGATGCTTAAGAAGTTTGTGTGTACAGTGGAGCAAAGTGTCCCACTGACTAGTGATTCTCATAGCACAGGATGGTGCCCCACATCAGTGGCCTACATGGAACAAGGGATGATCTCTGTGGAAGGCAAGCAGAAAATTGAGCTAAGTGGCTGTTGCACTCCTGAAACAGCAAGTTCTCACCATCATAGGCAAAGGGAACAGGCATAGCACTGTGTTTTCTAACACTTGTGGGTATGGGAAGAGACTGCAAAGGGTAGAGACGATTTGTGAGAGGGAGCAAAGTGCAGATAAAAGCAACCTGGTGTTTATCATCTCTTCTGCCCTCACAGCTGGGACCAGTACTTACCAGAAGTCATCTTCTGTTATTCACAGCTCTGCTACGTGCGTTACAGTTGGCTGTTCCTTCCTCAGTGCATTATTGAGGAACCTTGAATTATTTCAAGGCATGACAACCTGATAAGTGACTGACTGGCACTGGGAAGAAGTGCTGATTGCCAGGCTGTGTCTGCCTTTAACAAAAAGGAAAAACATTTCTGGGAGAAATGCTGACACGCGAATGTATAATACTGAAACACAAGGAACATGGGCCAGGCCCAAACTTGACCTGGTGGACTTAAATATGCACAGCCAGTGAATGCTCGCCTGGTAGCTATTGTAGCACGGCAAACTGACACCACCACCGTGGTGATACATGAGGGCACACATGCTATCTATCCTGGATCGGCTGCCCTTTAACTGCACTAGCACAGAAATGCCTCCTTCAAAGCTGCTAAACCCAGGACTGCAAATTCTCAGCAGGCAGAGATGTTCCTCTACCTATGTGCGTGGTTGGACAAGCAGCAATGGGCACCAGAGATGGGCTGGTGGCCTCTGTCATCATTATTAACCTGTTCCCCCCAAGTTTTAGCACCAATCTTCAGTGGAGTGTGTGCTATGGGAGGCAGCAGGTCACCTAAAGAAAACTTCCTTCCCGAACATGCCCATGGGAAGGATCTGTTCTCTCTTACTCCTCGCACTGGTACACCAAGGTATTTTCCTACCACTCTCCATGCAAGTGGTCACTGTTTCCCTTCTCATTCCCTTCAGCATTTTGCTGGCTTTGGGGTTACTGGAGACATAACTTTCCTTTCACTTTTGTATTTTGAGACTGTTTTCTTGTGAACTGTCCTCCTGAATGTTTTCCAGCAGTATGTAGTTCCTGGTGATTGACACAGCATAGCTGTTTCGTTTTTCCCCTTTGCTGTGCCATACGTGATCTAATCCTTTCTGTTGGCACAATATTTGCACTCTGTCTGCCCTCTCCTGCTGTGCTGTTTGGCTTTTGGACATACACATTGGCACACTGATGAGTCCCATCAATCTGCAATCTGTTCTCATCTGTTGATGCTTTGCTTCCCCCCATTTGTGTGCTTCTTATGCTTTTGGCCATATGTATTGACATGCAGCTTGAATCTGGGCACCTTTGCAATCTGTTGGTATTTTCACTTTCCTAACTTGGCACACAATTGAGATCCCTTTGTTTTGCCACTCACCTGTGATGCTCCCTGTAGGCAGTTTGTTTCTCTGCAGCCCAAGCTGCCCAGTCTGTCCCTATGCAAGCTCTTATGTTCATATTCTTTTATCCTGAAAAGTTCATCCTGGAAAAACCCAGAGCTCAGTGTTTTTATTAAGACAAATTACAATAGAACTCAAAAGGAAAAACGTGTGTTCAAATAGTGCCACATTGCATGGAGAGCAAAGGCATCTGTCTTTAGTTCTGCACAGCTTGAATTAGAAAGCTGAAAGAGAAGGTGCTTCTGCTGGCTCCTACCTGTGCTTGGTCAGTCATACAGTGAATTGAAATATATTGTGAGCATGAAGCTTTCCCTTGAAATTCTTCTCTTGGGATAATAGTCCCACATACCATGGAACGGTGAGGGCTCAGAGACCCATAGTTCACCTTTCTAATTATGTTGCAAAAGATCATGGCCTCACAGATAATATGGTATGCATTCCCAATAAAAAAGCAAAAGAAAATCTGTCCTTTCCTTTGGCACTGATTTGACGTACAAAGTTCAGAACACTTTCAATCATTTTTCATCTGCTCATTCCTTTTGGGTGAGATTTCAGATTTCATTTAAGAAGCAGTCCCATATTTCTTGTGTGTTTGGTTCCCCTGGAAAAACTTCTCCTGGGAAGCTGGCCAAAGACAAGTTCTCTACATGGTTTGTACCATGCAAAGTTCTGAGAGATGTGAATAGTTATGAGGTCTCCTGAAGGCCTTCTTTCTGAATCCGAGGGGTGTGGGATGAGGGATGCTGTGGCCAAAGGGAAAAGCACTGTGAGCCTCTTCAGAGGTTTATGGACCTGCCAAGGCTGAGCAGTCCCACTGGTTATCTGGAGGGGAGTGCTCCTTGGAGCTGTGTGCAGCCTTTGGGATTCAATGTGGAGAAGTATCTCCTTTTCATGGAAAGGATGCTGGCCTTGAGAGTAATAAGAAATTCAGGAGAACCTGGCCCTAGTTTGTAATTATCAGGTCTTTCCTAGCTACTTAAAACCCTTCTCTCTGGATCTCTTTTGCCTTCTTACTGACCGCCCTTGTAGTAATCCATTTTCTATCCCAAAATATACATGGCTTATGACTCCATGTGGGCTTTAACACAATTACCAGGGAGGGGAGGAGATGTGGGTCTTCCAGATGCTAAAATCCAGTTTTTAATGAAAAATATAGGCAGAGAGTGCCAGTTCCCAGTCAGAGCAGCTAGTTTGTGCCTTGCCTCTAATCATAGACTTTGCTAATCATAGACTTTTTTTGGCAATCATAAAATATCCTGAACTGGAAAGGACCCACAAGGATCATCAAGTCCATCTCTGATTAGACAAATAAAGGAAAAGAAGGCAAAAATCCCATATGCTCCACTTTTCCCCATTATTTTACATGAGAGGAGTGAAAAGTTTCATCCACCAGTTTAATATGAACATAGAATGACAATAAATTCCAAGTAAATTTCTAAGATTCATTTTTCAAACATACAAATTAGACAAGTCCAGTTAAATCATTATTTCCTTTATGCTTTTCTACTTCTAACATCAGTAAATATAGCCTCAGTACTCATTATCTGTCAGTTATGCTTGTACCTATTCAAAGAAAACTTTGTTTTGTAAACATTTTTTTAGGGCAGTTATTGTTATTTGTTATTGTCAAGAGAACTAATAAAACTTAGCAGCAGGCAGAGCTCGGCCTCTCTCAGTTATTGCCTTTTAAAGCCTCTACATCTCATGATCTTATCTCTTGCCTTGGACTTTCCCCGATAGTATTTTTGATTTGATGGGAAGTACTGAATTAATTCCTTTTTTTGCTTTAACTACTGAACTGTCTTTATCTCAACCCATGAGTTCTCACATTATTACCATTCTGACTCTCTCTCCCATCACATCCAAGGAGTGGATTTTTTCTCCCTTATATCCCACATTATTTTTAGAAAGACAGCTAAGAAAAAAATAAACAGGAAGAAGAAGAAAATATATTTCTTTATGTTAAAGCCTAACTGAGAATACACTAAATTTGGTTGGACTTCTTGTCTGTTTAGTCTGGGAATGTTGACTAACTTTGCCTTATTGTAGACAAAACAATCATCTATAAATATTTGCATGAAAAAGAAAAATACACTAAGTGACAGAAATGTTTTTATAAAGTTGTTTGGGTCTGTCACATGCCTTTAGGTAAAGCAAAGTGACAAAAACGTGTTTAGCAATCTTCTTAATAAATGTAATAGGCTCAAATACAAATATTATGAGGAGCACTGTGGCTATAAAGTCTGACCTTTTCTGAGGCAGGCACTGGCTTTCATATTGACCCTTTCTTTGCAGGACCAGGAAGCATACGTGTTTAATGATAAGTGTTTTTGATGGAAAATAAGCCTCTAATTACCTTTAAAATCTCATCTTTAAACTCTGAAGTCATTCATACATTTTTGAAAGTGTACAGTACAATCTGTTTTAGTGATGCAAAAATCAGCAAAGGCAATCTGTCTGATAAATGTGAACCAGTATGGAACAAGTTTCACAAAGCTAGGAATCTTCAGTTCTTACCTGCTGGAGTTAAAAACTAAAACAAAAAAAGAACAGCAAACTTTGATCAGCTTACCATAGCCTTTCCTCGTATGTTCAAAATGCTGTATCACAAACTTACAATAATATTAGCGAAGGGACACATAGCTAAGACTGAAAAACTGTCTCATTATTTTGTTTATGAAAAGAAGCATTAATTCACACAGCTTGATTCCCTAAATGCATCTCAGATTTAAAATATACTAACAAACTGCATATAATGTAGGAATATAGGGGAATAGGTAGGAATAGGGGAAGTTTAGGTTAGATAGTAGGAGGAAGTTTTTCACTCAGGGTGGTGAGGCACTGGAACAGGTTGCCCAAGGAGGCTGTGGATGCCCCATCCCTGGAGCC